ATCCCGCCCCTTGTAGGATGCACGCGCGAAGCTCACGATCAACTTCTAGTCCGTGCATCTTCGATCTTGACCCAGCAACACGGGAACCCCAGGCTACTATTGTAGTGTACCTAGCTTACTTATACTACTACAGTACACTAGAGATACCCATAAATACTTCGATTGGCACCCTTTTACGCATGCTGTTTAAAGTTGTGGTTGAAATTGCCGGAGGTTGATAAAGCTAACTGAGTAAGTGCCTTGGTGCCGTTAATCTGGACTCTTTACTACTTAGTAGCATAGCACCTTTACTAACAACGCTTAAAGTTGGCCTCAGTAGGTGCCTATGTAGTCCGAGGAAGGTATGCTAGTTGCCCTACCTAGCCGGTAGTAGCTGGCTAGAACGTGTTTCACCGTCATCAGCTATCGTAAAGAAAGTAAAAACACCGAATATGATCGTCGCACTACTGCTGCGAGACTCCGGTTAGCCTCACTGCACTCAATGCCTGCTTGCTTGAGCACTATCTTTCGCCACTACATATACAGTATAATCAAACTAGACATATATGGTAAGCCATATATAAGTAGCACTAGTACCAGCCCCCGGTACAACTAGTCTGCTTTTATTACTAATATTAAAGATTTTTTAATTAGGTAAGTTCTTCCTATATAGTTATATCTTATATACCGAGGTTTTTGGATAAAATAATATATATAGGTATTTAAATGCCTTTAGCTATATATTGCATTAAGGTAAGAGTTATTAAAAGTAAGGCGAATAGTTAAGATTAAAAGGAGCGGAACACCCTTCGAAATTATTATATTTAGCTAGCCCAACCTTAAAATATATAATATTATTAAAATAGTTTAAAGGCTTAAAGTTTAAGTATAATTATAATAATAAAAAATACATTTCGAATTAACTTAAATATTAATACTAATAGTAATACTATATAATTAAAAAAGGTATATATATACTTTATAATTATATATATTAAATATTTACATTATAAATTAAGCTAGCTATTAATATTAATACTTTAATAATTATTAAATTTATTAATTATTTTAAAGTTATATAAATATTCTTTAATATATTAATTATAAAAATTAATAATAAGATTTTTAAGCTTACTTTATTATATTTTACCCTTATATATATATATTAAACGTATAAAAAGCTAATATAACCTTCCTTTATATTTAAAACTTCTTTTATAATTAAAGGTAAAGAAGGTTAAGGGAATCCTATAATAAAAAAATATTATTTACTTCCTTAATATAAATTTATTTACCTTAAGCTTAATAATAACTTCTATATTACTTAATCTTAATGCTTTTAAATAATTATTAAGGTTTTACCTATTATTTATAAATTAGCAAAAATTAATTAATTATATAGGCTTTAATAAAAGTAATAGTAATTAATTATCCTAACCTTATAATTAACTTATAGGACATTTAATATAATATTAATTACTTATGAAATGCTTTAAACTAACGAAAGCTATATTATAAAGGCGTAAAATTAATATATTAATTATTTTAGTTATTATAGGGATAATTCGAACCCCTTTAAACGAGCTAACGGCGCTTGCTTTAATAACTTATATATAATAATTATTATAATAATCAAGCTTATAGTAAGTCCTTAGCTAGGATTAACGAATTAAAGGCTATGCTAACTATTTATATTATACTTTTAATGTGTACTACGCTATTGCTACTTAGCCGCCGGTAAAGGGCACCTGATTGTTTAGCCTCCCATTATTAGTGGATATCTTTAATGTTAGTATAATGGAACCTTTTGTTTCTGCGGCATGGGCTTATCCTAGTATGCCCCTACTTTTATCCGTTTTAGCTCATTAAGCAACGGGATTCGTTACGTATCATTGCTTTCATACAAGTTAGATGAATTGTCCTATTGAAGGATGCACCATCACATTTGCATACAATGGAAACCAGGCTCCAGACTCACCGCTTCTTGTGGCTCAAGTTATAAGGCTCTGAACTAATGCCGCAGAAAGCCCGCTTTGCCAAGGCAGACGCAAATGAGGATTACACCTGCAGCAACAGCTTGGACCCTGAAAGCTTGGCAACTTTGAAACGCGCGCATTTGTTATTACGTAGGTACTCTAAAGGATCATTCTATCTGCTAGCTTTTATTAGGCACTACCCAAATTGTTCTGAATATCTATACCATACTTCATAAATGATACACTGTACCTTTAATCACCTTTCAATTTCGACTGTTGATGGTTGATACGCGAGGAACACCGCAAGCGACGATCGCGTTACGAGCAAAAGATATTGAAAATTGCTCATATTTGCCGCAGGGTTTACAGTGACATCCCGCTCCGTCAGCAACTTTGTGGTGCCTGGAGCATAAAACACATGACACAATGCAGCTGACATGCCCAAGTATAGTTGGCATATATATGGATTATACATTCAAGCGTCGTAGGTTTCGATTTATCGTGGGTACGGTCTACATACTACTAACATCGCGTCGTTATGCACACTACCTAGGTACCTAGGGCCAAGTTTAGGATCTACCACAAGGTTAGTGCTGGAGTAAATAAGATGGGCTGAAATACCGTCTTGATGCAAGACATGATTGGGACTTCGATTACTGGGTCTTATTGTCATGGCTCGAGAATCTTGGTTCGATCTAAACCATATGTCGAATCCCATCAGATGCATCATGTGGCACGCTCTTCTGATCCATATCTATATATGCCTATTTAACTGCCAGTCAACTTTAATCTCTAACGCAAACCACATAGTAGTCGAGCTGGTATACTAGTATAACCTGTACACCACACGACGAGTAGATGGTTCAACTGGGAACCGCCATGCTTTGACTTGAACAGTAATGCCAGTCGAGCTGTGAAATTATTACACCTACCGAATCAATCGGCACTTACGGCAACACTATATTAGCATAGCTTGATCTCTCAATACTACATATAGTAGCGCAGTGAATTAGCTTCATTGACTGGCGCGACTGGAAATAATAGCCCATATGATACCTACATGTACCCAGCCGCGGTTGTCAATAAGAAGACTCGGCGACTCCTTCATTAGCGCACAATACTAGCAACGTGGAGATTTCAATAAAACTGCCTCTCTGAGGCCTCACTACTACGCCTAAGGTGTGGTTGGAAAACAAGCCAACACGCTACGGCCCAGCAGCTCCCCCCCTCCTCTTAACTCTAAGTTTTCCCCTCTAAAGCCCACTTTCTTGTGATCTTCACTTTTTTCGACCCAAGAAGGCAGGACCCTGATTTTAGGGCTCGACAAATTGACATGCTGTTCTCGACGAATATTAGTATCCGAGGTATCATCTTTTTCATTTGACTACCCTCATCTAGCATTTTAGTCTACATGCACCTAAGTAGTAAAAAATACTGGCATTGATCTGCTTGCCTATCCTTGGCGGGAAGATCCGTAAATCATAGATAGGTAGCAGCCCTGGGCACTAAAGGGTCAGGCGGGTGTTCCCTGGGCAGAATATTTCCAGAACGTTTCTAGAATATTTCTAGCGGCGTAGGGCAGGGTATCGAACTAGGTAGCTTCAAACACGCATCCTTTTCAAGCACTGTACAACAGGTGTACCAAAATTCATAATAGAGTGCATTATACCGGTAGTACTACTATGTATAGGAGTCGCCATTCATGTGCTCGCTGCCCTGCCCAGTATGCTTACGTATATATAAAATGCTTATGCTGCGGCTAGACTTGTTATCGTGCGCCGTTCTCTGCACCGGAAAGCCACGAATTTGTTCGAATATAATTATATGATGCGGTGTATTTAGGTTATCTAGATAGACTACCGGTATACATAGAATACTCAAAACAGACATCGCTCTTTACTCCTCGGAAAGAGTCGAGAAAATTTGTAAACTTGAGCCACGCTATGGGTGATTCCAGGCTCGGTGAGCAATCCATTACATTAGTGACACCTCTCACCATCTTCGGCCCCCTATTTTCTTCATCCAGCGAATGCCGAGGGCAGAAAGTTACATAATAGTCATACTGGTAGGCCGATAGTAATACCGAGTGAGACTGGCTCTGTCTGCACTACCACACTACTTAGGTAAGCTGACTAGAGGGGTCAGTTGAGATTCAAAAGGCTTCACCAGCCGCCTACCAAGCTATTCCACCGAACTTGCAAGACATTTGGCTCGAAGCGCACCGAGGCAGTAAGTAGTTCAATTAAAGCTTTGAGAAGCCCTTACCTCGAGCATAATTGAATAGGTCTCTGTCCCCAGAACATGCGAATCGAGGGAATCTCTCGTTGAGGATAGACGGCCGCAACACTTCGGTGTCTTCTAGGGATTGAATGGCCCTACGCGAGACCCGAAACGGCGATTTTTCTGTCTTCGGCGAAGAGGAAGCGTGGGAGAAAACAGCGCATGGTGTGCGGGTGCTACCAGCAGACTTAAGACTCATAGTCATGATCCTGCTAGAGCCAGAGCAAACGCCGGAACGGCGAATCCCGGGTGTGCTATATCGGGGGGGGAGGGGGGTTGTTTGAATATCTGCATATTTCCTTTTAGCTGAATTAGCCGCCACCCACTGCCTAAGCACAAGTACTGATGATGACTTCGCTTGCTCTATAATCTCGATTGAGAGAATATGACCGTGCATATAACGCGGGTGCGGACGGGGCCGCCATGGCTCAGAGGCTCGGCGGTAAATCGGGGTTTGGAAGTGGAACAAACTCTCCATGCATGACAGCCCATGGCCTGCGGACTGCAGCGCGAAATCATGCGATAGATCATATTACATCATGTACCTTTTAGACTTTTTTTTTCAACACGATCCCGGAGTTGTCTGTCCTCTTCACGTCGATTCTTCTCCATCCCGTATGTAAACATTCGATTACTCAGTCCCTAGCATATCGCAACCCCGAAAAGCTTCCTAAGATACGTAATTCCTACCGGTTTTTGAGATACCTAAATACTTTCATCCATACATATAAGAGTTGGCAAAGGTGGCGATAGATTGGACTTGAATTTACACCCACCATTCAACCAGGCTTACGATAACAGCGACTTCGCACTATCTACCTATATACCTACACAGCATCCCTACTCACTTGTCCAATAGACCAGGACCTACTAACCTCACAATTGATCATTCGATCGATTAATCACTCCCGTTGATCGTTCCAAAAGACGCAAACAATCCTCCGACCAATTAGCCGAGAGGAGAAGAAGTTGAACCACCAGGCACAAAAACCGCTATTGAATCCCACCATAATCGACCGCATCCATCACTACAACACCAAAACACCGCAAAAATGAAGGTCATCAGCAAAGAGGAAGAGCAAGCGCACTACAGCGCCGTGCTCAGGGGTGGTTTCATCGGCGGCACACTCGGTCTCGGCGTCGGCCTTCTGGGCGTCGTGGCCGGGATGCGGCGGTATCCCGCGGTGCGGCAGCTCACGCTGCCCTTCCGCGCCTTCCTCGTGACATCCGTGGGCACCTTCGGCGCCATCGTCAACGCGGAGCGGTACTCGAACGCGTTCCACCTGGCGAACAACCCGATGAACTTCTACAAGGACCAGGCGCAGCGCGACGCCGAGGAGCTGCGCAAGCAGGAAACGCCGTGGCAGAAGTTCATGCAGTTCGGCCAGCAGAACCGGTACAGCATCGTCTTCGGCGCCTGGGCGGCCTCCATGGGTCTCGCGCTGGGCCTCGTCAGCCGCAACCGCTTCCTGAGCACGCCGCAGAAGCTCGTGCAGGCGCGTGTGTACGCCCAGGGTTTGACGCTGGCGGTGCTCGTGGCCTCGGCGGTGTTCGAGACGTCCGATGCGCGGCAGGGCAAGGGCCGCTGGGAGACCATCATGGTGGTCGACCCCAACGACCCCGAGCACAAGAACATGATTGAGAAGCGCGTCCATAAGGAGGAGTACGAGGGTCAGGACCTCTGGCGCGACATGGTCGCTGCTGAGGAGCGCCGTCTCGCGCAGCGCAAGGAGGCTGACGCTGTCGCTCCCAAGGCGAACTAGAGAAAAAAAAGTTTCAAAGGCGAGGGAATTGTTACCGTCAAGGAGTGAATTCGAGCTTTCGTTCGAAAAAAAAGAAAGAACGCGAATACTACAGCACGAGGAAGCGGAATCGATCTATGTGTTGCATACACAGGCTTGCAGTACACGAAACAGCTCGGCGGCCGGGGCATTTGGCTTAATTGACGAAGTTTTCGATATTCTACGGTGCCTTTTGTTGATCAGTTAATGCTGGATTGATAGATGGATAATAGATGGAGGGAGGGATGCATGCATCAACCCGGCGTTCTGGTTCAAGGGCGGGAAATATCCAAGTTTATTCTTCTTCTTTTTCTTTCTCCTCTCTTTTGTACATTAATTTTATGTCACGACTTCCATTGCCTCCCGTTCCAATCCTGCAAGGAGAAGGGGTAGTAGCTCTTGGAGAATCTGGAAGAGTAGTAGGCGGTGGTGAAAAAGCAAAATCCAGCGATAGACAAAACGTTATCATAGAAGGATGATCAATCAAATACAAAAGAAAAGTCGCTTCAAACACGTATACTGTTAAATTTTGTGTGATTTCTTCTCGATTGATTGATAGATTACCACCCGCTCAGATCCAAGGATTCCTGTGATCGTTACCGTCACGACCTTTCTGAACAGCCCCTTCTCAAGCATACGAAAAAGACAACAGCCGACCCGAGAACCCCTTGATGTGTATATCCACCCGTCCACAGAACCTAAAGGAAATAAACTTTGAACACCCATACTTCGACAGAAGCAACCGACAAACCATGTACTATTAAACCTTGAGGGAGAAGTCCGGCGAATACCAACCCAACCCAACCCATCGCCGGTCGCAATCCACGCTATATATGCTCGCGGTATGACAAACAAAACACAAAACACATGAAACCACCAAAACTAACAAACAAATAAGCCAAGCAGATTAATCGTGATCTCGTAGTACTATTTATACTTTTTCCACTTCACCTATCTTACACATCTGTCCTACAACTCGGGAAAAATAAGACTGACAATGAAAGAAAGGCAGCTGAACGAAGAATCTTGGGTGCATCCTCTTAGACCTCGATGGTGAAATGGCTGATCTGCGAATAATATGCGTGGACAGCGAGCTCGAGAATCCAGACATCGCTGAACACCTCGACCCCATCGAACCCACCGATCATCAGCAATCGACTGTCGTGAAGCACCGTGCCATGGTAACCTCTACCCGTGGGTGGCAGACCATAAACGCTGCGCTTATCCCAGGACATGGTCACGAGATTCAATAGGAGTACGTCATCCGAGTACTCGGAGCCGTCGTGACCACCGATTATGAACAGATACGAGCCCACGAGCGTCGAAGTATGTGAGAGCCTCCGGAACGGGACGGGAATCGGCACAGGCTTCCAGATTTGCGCATCCACGTCATATACCCAGACATCGTTGAAGCATTCGCCGCCGTCCGATCCTCCATATATAATCAGCTTGCTGCCAACCATGTTGGCAGTGTGGTATCCGCGGGCTTTGGGTTTATTCACCCCGGCTCCCACGTCGCTACCATTTGTACCGCTGGGTAAGCTCTTGTCTGGGCCTAACACTAGTCTCCAGCTCATTTTACTCATGTCAGAGACGTCGAGACGCCATATGTCGTTCAGGGCGCGGACACCGTCGCCGCCACCGAAGACGTATATGCCATTTTTATGCAGACATGCGGTGTGCGCACGACGCGCGCTGGGCATTTGGTCGCCTATGATTCGTGGCTTGTGCCACCTGAAATTCATGGTATCCAGGACATATACATCATTGTAATAGGCTGGACCATCGCCTCCTCCGAAGACTACTAGTTTTTTGCCCACAGCCGTGCATGTCATTGCTCGCAAGGGGATAGGGATGTCGCCCGTGACGTGGGGCACACTCCAGTGAAACGAGTCGGCATCTAAGACGTATAGGTCGTTGAAGCAAGTACGACTATCACAACCTCCAAATACGTATACATTATTGCCTACGAGAGTCGTGGTATGGGCTCGCAAAGGTTTATGTGGTGCTCCCGACACAGGCGCACGGGACCAGTACATGCCAGACGAGGGCGCTGGGAGAACATCAGCGGCAGTTGAAGGGTCTTGAAGAGGTGGGAATGGCGTGTGAGCCGGTTTCGGTTGTCGCGAGGACGTCCCCTGTTTGCGAGGTGTCGTTGAGCTCGTAATACCCAACGAGGAGGCCTTGGAGGCTATGGCAGATGTCGATCGCATTACTAACGGACGTTGGGATTCGGAATCTTTGGCGTCGGTTGAAGACCCGGTGGGCAAGTCATTCTGGGCTTCACCATTGCGCCGTAAGGGAGGCATAGGAGCTGGGGTCGTCGACGGGGGCGGATAAGCAGATTTAGAGGAAACGGATTGCGAGCGCTGACGTATTGAAGTTTCGGACGCCTTGCGTCTACTGCTCGACGACGGACCACCATTGCTTGTACTCTGGCTCTTGGAGGCGAGGTGGCCTGGCGTGTGGCTTCGGACCGGGGGAGGGGCTCGCTCGGACACCTCACCTCGAGGTGAAGATTCGGCTTCAGCTATCTTCTGGGAGCGCACGGTGCGTGACCGGCTACTAGAGGAAGAGGCGTGTGACCGGGAATCGGACATGGCGTAGGAGGCGGCCAGAGAATTGGCAGGTCTATTTGCATTACCGTTTCGGTAAATACTCCCACGAGGTTGCCCAGGCTAATTAACTTGATGCCAGCAGCAAGAATGGTAGGGTCAACGGCAGTGGGAGAGATTATGGAATAGTGTACCAGACTCTTGGGCCCATGCGATCGCGATTCGTTTGGCCACGGTCTGGATTGGGGGATTTGCACGAAGCGATTGAGATGCCGGTTTGCATGGGATATTGATTTGAAATGCGGATGCGCACTCGACCAGAGGGCCAGGAGCCTCAGTACGGTATAGATGTGAGGACGGGTATCAGGCCAAGGGCTGAAGTCAGGGGGTGTCGGCACTTATACGGGCAATCTGCGTATTCCCATGTACTTTTTGTCGAAAATATGCGAGGGAGTCGACAAGGATTGTGGGCGGATCATGCAGATTTGCTGGTGTACACCACACCTCACCTCAAGGTGTGTATGACGACGGGGATCTGGTCGCGTGTTACTTGTTACTTCTTTCGGTCTGAATCTGGTAATGGGCCAAGGATGAGGTTTCAAAACGGGGAGGACGGGTCTGGAACTACACCACGATATTCGTACATGTGCAGACTTTAGGTCAGGTACCCGTGTCTCGTCACGATCCCTGCAGGAGATTGAGGACCGGCTTGATTGATTGATTGACCGATTGAGTGATTGATTGATTGATTGCGTTGCAGCGTTGTAGGAATGGGGTCTAGGAGGAGCCGTCGCCGAGGGGGGGAAGAGAGCTAGGGAGATAAGTACTATAAGTACCTGCTACCCAGGTCGGCATACAGGTACTTGCGTTAGGTAGGGTAGCCGTACATTACAGGCATTGTGGGGGGAATGCCCCGCATTGCTCAGCAGGTACCGGCCAATTACATAAGCCTACGTACCTCCGAAGTAGAAATGCGAAATTCACCACTTCCTCGAGGGTCTGTAAGGAAAGCAGGTAACTCTACCTACCGACAACTACCTACATGTATGTATGTTAGTAGGTAGACGCTTCATCCTCTTGAAGAAATCCTGTCAAGTGCTATGATTAGCAGAACTTCGCGTTCAGACAAAAGCACATTCAGACGTTGGTTCTATGCCGCGCCGGATACCAGGTTGGCGTCTGTGCAGTGCTGTTCGACACCTGCATCCATGGATGTATGCAATCCGATATTCTGCATCTCACGGCGAATTATCTGCCAGTATAATTAGGTACATAGATGTACATACTTAGTATGTAACAACCGTCCAAGTTAGCTTCTACTTGCTATCTGCTAGTCGTGATTTTAGCTGCCAAGTAATCCTCGAATTGTCTGCAAATTCGGATGATACCAGTCGAGTACCCTCATAGCAATGATATCTTAGGGAAGAAAGAACACAAAATACGAAAAGGGAAAGAAAACCCGAGTGTCAAACGGGCGGGCGGTTCATGTTGTTCTGAAGCCATGTGACCCCTAGCAGAACAGGCCCATATGTACTTAGCACACTGTATGTGAGACTTCCAAGGTTGCATGAAGCCAAGCAACTTGTCCCAACAGCCTCCAGTTGCTCCGTCAAGGATAGTAGACTTACAGTATGTAAAGCAAGGAGTGCCCTTACATCATGATCTGGGCACAGAGCGGAAAAGGTCGCGCCACAATTCGAACAGGTAGCCAGTAAACAAACCCCATACTACTGGATTAGGTAAGTCGTAGTGTTTGCCGGACCCATTTGGGAGACGAACCGGATCTCTTAATGGACCTCGCGCATCAAAATCGCTGTGGCCGACAAAAATTCGACGCCTCTCCCTCGTAAAAACTCGCAACCGAAATAATATCGGCGTGCGTATCCGATCCTCGGGGGCCCCGTCGACCATCGTTCCAAGACCAGCCAGAGACGGCTTGCCGTAGATTCACATTCTAGCCAAGCACCATTTAATTTCCTTTTCATCGCCATGAACGAATCGGAACAACCCGTGCCTGCTGCAGCGGCCGAGGTTCGCGCCGGGGAGGCGGGAGAGGCTGGTGTCGCGTCTGGGGTCAGTGAACCATCGAATAAGCGTCAGAAGCTCAGCCACAACGCAACCACCGACCAGCGTGAACGCAGGCATGGCATTGCACCTATCAAATCGGAGTGAGTTTGGTCTTGGGAACGACGCTTTTGGTATCACTATCTAACAAGTTAATCTCAAGGTATCTTATCTCATTTGAGGTGCAAGAGGTGGTTGATGATGATGCCGCCGAAGGTAACACTGCTATTGACGGCGGGAATGTCACCGAAAAGCCAGAGCAGACAGACAGTGCTGGTGGCAGGAAAGGAAAGAAGAAGCAAAAGGGAGGGCAGAACCACAATCGTTCATTCGGCAGTTTCGAAGACTCGCTACGGCTCTGTAACAGCCGTGTCTTGAGCAATGAATTCTCCCCCAAGCCGTGCAAATTTGCCGAGCGGTGCAACATGTGCCATGATATTCGCGCATACCTCGCCGAAGGCAGACGGGCGGATCTGGAAACCATGAATGGAAAGTGCCCTGTCTTCGAGGAATATGGTCGCTGTCCATCGGGTTGGAAGTGTCGCTTCGTCAGAAGTCATTCAAAGGAGATCGAACACGAAGATGGCCGAAAAGAACTTGTGCTCATTCAAGAAGGCCACCAGCCAGAGGTGGATGATAGCCATGATGCCAGGCCCGGTGTGATGAACGTCGTATCAGCCGACATTAAGTGGGATCTCGCACGCAAGAAGGTGGTGCTTGACAAATCCGAGGCTTACACCAAATGGCTTGACAGGGACTCGCAGATTACACATAAAATCTACAACAGGAAACAAGGCACAGAGGATGCCCCGGTGGACCCTAACCTCCTCGAAGAACTGAGAGCTCAATTCGTAGATCCCCCATTTAAGGCATCTGAGAAGCGGAAGATCTATTTCGGGCGCGAGACGCCTGTTCTCGCGCCGCTTACGACCCAGGGTAACCTCCCTTTCCGAAGACTTTGCAGTGACCTCGGTGCTCAAATCACATACTCGGAAATGGCAATGGGTTTGCCCCTGATTCAGGGACAGAAAGGCGAATGGGCTCTTATGAAGGCCCACAAAAGCGAGCTGGCCTCTCCTCGCTTCACGCCCGAGAGCGGCAAGGTCGTCGAGGGTTATGACAACTCGAAAGATCTCAAGTGGGGAGCACAAATATCTGGCAACCAGGCATGGGTGGCTATGAAAGCCGCTGAAGCTTTGACAAGATACCTACCTCATCTTCGCGTAATTGATCTCAATTGTGGTTGCCCCATTGATCTAGTGTACCAGACTGGAGCTGGCTCTGGTCTCCTCGATACACCGAACAAGTTGGAGAAGATGGTTCGAGGCATGAACGCTGTTTCTGGGGAAGTGCCAATCACCGTCAAACTGCGGACTGGTGTCCGAGACGGCAGACCCACGGCCCAACGACTCATCGAGAGACTTGCCTTCGGCAATGCCGACTTCCGCGATCGTTTGGGCGCACCTGGAACGGCAGCCATCACATTACACGGACGCAGTAGACAGCAGCGATACACGAAAAAAGCCAATTGGGAATACATCGCAGAGTGTGCGGCGCTAATCCAATCCTACAAGGACAAGAAAGACGATCTCACAGACACGGCCATGGAGCCTGACAGCAACACACAGGCGAACACAGGGAACGACAAGATCTACTTCATCGGAAATGGCGACTGCTACTCACACGTAGACTACTTCGACCACATCGACAACGCCAAAGTAGACACGGTCATGATCGCGCGAGGCGCCATGATCAAGCCATGGATCTTTGAGGAGATCGAAAAGGGACAGTACCTCGACAAGTCGGCGACAGAACGACTCGGCTACGTCGAGAAGTTCGTCCGCTACGGACTGGAAGCATGGGGCAGCGACGAAGTCGGCCTCGGCCACACGAGACGCTTCCTGCTGGAGTGGCTGAGCTTCACGCACCGATACATCCCGCTCGGTCTCCTAGAACATCTGCCCCCGAACATCCAAGACCGGCCGCCGAAGTACAGATGCCGCGACGATTTGGAGACGCTGCTGGCTAGTAACAACTACAAGGACTGGATTAAGATCACGTAAGTCTTCCTACCCTTCCTTATGAAAGCCACCACGAAAACTAGAATTGTTTGCTCGGTCGAACAGGACGTTCTAACTTGGTATTTTATCTAGTGAGATGTTCTTAGGTCCTGCGCACCCGAACTTCTCGTTCCAGCCGAAGCACAAATCACACAGCTACGATATCGATGCCGAGGGTTGAAACCCTTGTACATAGCAGAGATAAAGCCAGGTCCAGCTGAAACTCTGGGAGCAGCTGTGCTGGGTTTTGTATACATGTAATTGAATACCTACATATGTACCTACTGTAGGTAGCGAAAAGCAGCAAATGAACAGATGTCAATTACAGGGTGCGTACGAGCGAACAATACCTACCTAATATGTAGGTAGGTAGTGAATGAAATGATCAAATTGTCCTGCTCCTTGGCGTAGGGTAGTCTGTTCATGAATTGGAGAGTACCTACCTAGGTACCTAGTATTGAGATTTCGATCTGAATTTCATGTGCAATAACGTCACTGTTGGTTCTACTATTATCTCGACCTATTCCAGTTCCGTCATTAAATGCTGTCTTCAAATCGAGAGTCTTTTCCCTGAGGGTACTTAGCGGCCGAGACCTCCGGGCTGTAGGGCGGATACCTAGACGTACATAGTAGGTAAGTACCTAGACTACCTAGACAATGTACGTACCCCTCTCAATTCGGCTCGATAGTACCGTACTTGAGCCACGGCAGAGCGATGACGTAGCTATGCTGAAGCTCGCGCCCAGCTATGCTACAGTACTACGTAGGTGTAGCTACTACCTGTCCCGCTTACGAAGTAGGTACTGACAGGTACACACGACCAGGTAGGTACACACAGCTGTCCACAACTCAGCTCAAATCAATATCGTCACTCAGACAGGCCACCTTCCCTCAAAATCAACCCAGCCCTCTTTCAACCCTCTTTCAACTCTTTAAAGCTACAGAAGTCCCCATCACGACTTGTTGCCGCCCCTTTTTGCTTTCCTCATCATACTCTGCAACCCAAACACCCGCAGCCGTCACACAACAACGGCTTCTCTGAACAGCTATCTGTTTATACAATCTGGTTGATAGCTCAAGTCACCACCCCGCACCACAGCCTTTGAGGCACGAGAAACCCTACATCGTCGTCCACCATGACGCTCTACTACACTCTCGTATGTATACATTTCTGCCCGCTACAATCTACGCCAATCTACACCCGCTGTTCCATTCTAGTGCAGCCGAACTATCGTTATGAATCCACTGACACTATACGAATAGGTCTTCCTGCTCCTCGTAGCAGAGATGTCGCTCTTCATGTTGCTCGTCGTCCCCATGCCGTTTACCGTAAAACGCAAAATGTTCACGTACGTTATGCCGTCTACCAGAAAGAGACGCATTCCCGAAACCAATCGATTACTATCACATCGTGCTTGCGTCGCACTGATTGCTTGCTAACACTATTCTTTTTTTTTTTTTTTTTTAGCTTCCTCTCCGAGAACCCTATCATAGCGAAGATACAATATGGTCTCAAAATCACATTCATCTTCATCTTGATTCTGTTCCTTGACAGTGTCAACCGTGTCTATCGAGTACAGGTTGAGTTGGCTGCCGCTACAGATACAAGCAAGGGCCAAGCGTACGTACCGTCCTGTTCAGCCCACTAAACCCCTCTGGTGTGCTGTGCTCTGTTGCTTCATTCTCTTGTTGGGCTGTGGCGCTATCTGCATCTGCTGAGCAAGGACGCTTCATCTACCGTGCTTCGCTAACATAGTTGCTTACAGTGCTGTCATGGGACACGAACGACTCGAAGTGCAGGCCCGCAAGTTCTACAGTCAGCGCAACATGTACTTGTGCGGTTTCACCCTGTTCCTGTCACTGATCCTAAACCGAACCTACATCATGATCTTGGATATGCTGCGTCTCGAGGAGAAGCTTAAGCAGTACGAGGGCACCGACAAGAAGACCAAGGATAGCGAGAAGCTCGCCGTTGCCGGCAAGCCTGGCGAGATTGCCCGCCTGAACAAGGAGATCGAGAAGCGCGACCGCGACATCGAGACCCTCAAGAAGCAGGCCGAGGGTCTCTCTCGCGAGTATAACAACTTGTGCGAGAAATACGGCGAGACACAACCTCCCGCCGGTACTCGCAAGGACAAATAAGCGGCTTATCTCTCTGCCTCGACCGAACTTAGGGACACCATTTCACATAGTGGTGCTTAGCAACCTGTATCCTGAGCGATCCTTTAGGTTGGCGTTCGAGTTTCTTGGGCGGGCCGGATGTGTGTCTATGGACGGTTCCTTTGCTTCATTTCATATGATCGGATGGAGGATCCTAAGGATAACAATATACGAGTGTGTTCGGCGCAAAAAGTCATATTGCTGGAGTTGTCTAGTTTTATAGGGTGATCTTTCACGGGGGTTATAGAAAAGCCCGGAATGGGCCCAGCTTGTATGCTCCTGGAAGAATACGCTATGCAATATTATATGAGGTGAATGACATTTAATGGCCTTGCTCAGTAATGGCCGTGAAAAATTACTTCTTAAGTTTTTGTTATTTTCACTTGCGTTGCTCGTGATCTTGTTCGTTGAGAAATGCTACTCATTAAGTAGTCTATCAAAGTATCATTCTATCCATATTTCATGAGCCAGCCAACCCACCGTCACAGCACCCCAGATGAATTCCGCTGGAAACCAGAAAAAAATTCTCGATTAGATCCTCATATACTTGACAAATTCCTTTTGCTGCTCAACTCCATTAAGTCCTCCCCTCCTTGACTCTTCTGTCCTGATTTATTCCAATCAGTGGCAATCACCTCACCTCACCTCACCGTCTACCCCCGCCCTTCCTCAAAACAGCATCAAACCGATCAGGGAATAGAATCCCATTCGCAAGACGTAATAACTCGACGTCTTTATCCCACCCTCCTCCTCCTCCTCCTCGTTCCCTTTCTCTTCTACCAGTACTACTATTACTACTACTGTAAGCGGAATCACCACGCCGGACCTCGAAGGGACTCAGCCCCATGCTCCGCAAGGCGTCGTCGCCGCCGGCATCAGCCACGTCCTGCACGTCTGCGCGGCCCGTGTGGTCGCGCTCGCCGGCCGAGTTGCCGATCTCTGCGAAATCGGGGGCCGGGAGGCCGAGGAGGAAAGCGCGGCGTTGACGGGCGAGGTAGAGCGCGTTCGTCTGCGTGAGCGGACAGGAGGGGATGTAGAGAAGCGTTGCGTCGGACGGGGAGGACGAGGCGGATGAGGATGAGGAGTGGTGGGAGTGAAGATGGGGACGGCGGTAGGGTGGGGAGGAAGAGCTTGGAGACGATGTGGATGAGGAGGAGAGAGGCGAGTAGAAGGAGAATGAATCCGAGCGAGATCGAATCGAGCCCGAGCGGGACGAGCTGCTGGAGAAGGAATACGGAGAAGGCAATGGCGCGAAGGGATTGCTTGAGGGAGGCGTCAGGGTGAAATTCGACGGCGGGTACGGGTTGCGGCTGGGACTGAGGGGGCTGTGGCCCGGGAAGTATGCTGTATCTACGGCGTGCACCACGTCAGGGTGCCAGATCACGTAGTCGCCGGGCTCGAGGTCCGGGGCGGAGACCATGGTGCGGTGCATCTGGAGATGCGGATGCAGCGCGCTGCTGAGCTGCTGGACGTAGCCTGGCACGGCGCCGTGTAACACGCTCGTCTGCGAGACGTTGAGATTCCAGTTCGTTGGGTGCAGGAAGTCCATCTCGGCCCTCCTTCTGTCGCTGCTCGTGCCCATGCCCATGCTCATGCCCATCTGGTAGTTGTCCATCATCTTCGCTGCAGGGTTCTTGTGCCGTGGTGTGAAGAACGGGCGGAGGAGCAGATACGTTGTGCTTAGCTGCAGCATCGGGCACACTGTTAGGGCGCCGCTGCCCGCTGGCACAGACGAGAGACTGAGGATTCCTTGGAACATCCGGAACATACTGCATGACCCGGAGCGGTTGTAGAGGTCTGTCGTGATGTGTAGACGTGGACTACTATCCCAAGGGTCGTAGTCCTCCCACCGCCCTGAGAACACTGAGCTGTACGTCCCTGACGCCCCGTACCCATCAGGCTCCCAGCGTTCTACACTGCCATTGTCGATGTGGGCGCCGCCGGTGGGTGACATTTCGTCTGGCGTTCGTACGCGCAGCCGGTCTGCGTATACGACTGGGTATTCGGAGCTGACGAGGGCGTGATCATCACTAGAATGCCAAGTACGCATTGCGAATCGCTGTGCATCGAGCAGACGCGAGTCAGCACGGGCACGGACTTGGCTTGGGCTCCAATAGAGGTCGAATAGCTGGGGGTCGTGTGATGGGTGTCCTTTGGTCTGCGGGTTATCGGCGATGTAGTCTAGCGTTTCATCTTTCCAGGCCTGGGCGACGGTCGTCGGGACCACGCGCTTGATGACGGCTACGCCGCGTCTCCTGAGGGCTTTCCTGAACGCAGATGCCTTTGCACTATCGTGGATGTCGAAATAGTCGATTGTCGGGATCACATTCGACCCTCTTGCTGCAATATCGTCGGCTTCCTTGCGGAGCGCGCGAATCAAGCGATAGAAGGACTCTGCAACGTCTTTCTCCCGACAAGCAATCATGTTCCGCTTAAGCTTCGCAAAACGAGAGGAGAGTGGAATGGGCTCCGAGGAGTCAAACACGGATGGCATGTCATGTAGAGCCATGTTGTTGGTTGCTTCACTGAGGGAACGATATTGTCCCCAGGACGGATCATGCGTAGGCTTTGGAATGAGCATGCTTCACCGTAGATGGTGGCTCGACCTTATTATAAGATGAAGAGCACTAGATGTGAGATAGTGAGAGACGATATTAACCTGGGCCATTTTAACAATGTGGACGGAATATCCCTTATGTGCTAGCTCATGCCTTGAAGATGGTGAAGCGTTGCCGGTGGAGGCGAAACCATTTAAGTGAGATTGCACTGTTCCCCAAGGCAAGCGAACGTATAAGAAATCAAAGCCTAGGAAGATGGAGATAGTCCTGCGGGTTGACGAAGCGAGAGAATTTAGGCAGGCCTTGGGCTGGCAGTGTTGCCACTTTCGCTACGCATCCTGTATCAACATCCTGCACCCATATGAATCGATATACGTGTAAGTCAGCATTGTCATCGTCGGGTGGGTGTTCCGACGTGCGAAAGTATGCTCTCCTGTCAAGTATGCAGCAATAGCGGCAGCAATCCCGGGCAAGTAGCTTGTTCCAGTACCCAGACTCTGGGAGGGTTGTCTCTAGCCTCATGCTTACACCGTAAATACGATGTCAAGACATCAAGAATATGGGTGGCCATCAGGCGGCCAGAGGCGATATTGAACAGTGATTAGAGGATCGGCAGACGATGGGACCATCCACTAGTAGTTCAAGAAATCGCGGCGCTTACACGGGCCGTCGAACCGCAGTCCAGAGTATCGGAGAATTTTCCGACAAAGTGCCAATGGGGATGAGTCCCGAGTTCAATGCGGCGAACTCGATCACTCTACCGGTGAGCGTTCCTTGCAGGGCCGTTGAACCCTCAGAGGCCCAGATGGAGATAGAGTGCTGCATCGGGTTGCATCGCGCATTTCCACATTCATTCTGGATGCGTCGTGCATGGTGTCGTACCAGTCGGCGTGAAAACCAGGTGTGAACCTCAGATCTTGTTTCAATTGGGTTATCGGGAAGTTCCTATCTTCGCCAACTATCGAGACAGCATATATTTGCTGCGCTGGTACGTTGCTTGCATCCTTTCAGCTTCTTTCTCCTTTAGCGCTGCGGGTTACTATGTGTCTACCTCTACATAGCCGGCCGAGAAGGGCCGTCTCTTATCAACCAAAACATAGACGACTCCACTCGGAGATTTCGGGACCTTAAGATTGATTGGACTGAATGACCTATGATCTCCGGCGAATGGTATTATGGTATCAGTAGTATAGCGAACCAATATGCCAAGTATGTGGTGGTGTTGAGACTGCTTCTTTGTCGATGTAAGCTTTTTATTATGTTGATATAACTATGTTGTTGTTATAACAATACTACTGCCAGATTTGTGCGCAACGTGCAGCAGCATCTCCAGCCATTTGAAGGTATGCATCGGTGGCCATGTCATTGTCGATTCCTAAGAATCTCTGATTGGTGGGCAAATCTCTAGTCCTAAGAACGGGAAAGATAGAAGTGCCTTCGTTCATCTCGTCAAACATCGCACCGAAGATGAACGTCGGCTTTAATGACACGGCGCCTTCTAGCTGCATCTGATAGAAAGTGCCATTCCACCTTGGGAAATGATCAAACTGTTCGTTTGGGTTCGCATTACTGCTCGATCCTCCAGGCCACACAACGATGCTGCTGTCGATACCGAGTCCCTGGAGTGCCCCGGCATCCTCGATAGCCTGCCGTCCGTTCAAGAAGTCCTGGTAACCGTTGATGTCATATGCGCCTACTGTCCAGGGTTGAATCATGTCGGCGAGGCGATATACTGGTCCAAATCGCCCGGGTTGATTCTCAACCATCTCGGCGTGCCACGCTTGCTGGACACCAAGAATTACATAGAAGCCGGCGTTCTTCAGGGCCGTAACAATGGCGATGCCATCATCAGCACTCACCTCGTTTACAATACCGAACCCCCAAATTTCGATGACGGGTTTTCCTTCGTGGTGCATGTAGGCAGGGGACGAAGTGATGTCACTCAGTGCTGCTAGGTCGGCGAGGAACGTAGCCGTGACGTTTGTTGATGCCGTGGCTGCACCATTTAGGTCGTACTCAATCACGAAACCACGGCCATATTTTTCCGCAGCATCCTTAGCTGCGTTAAAAATCTGAGTGTTATTGTCAGCACGTTTTTTTTGTCCCGCACCGTACCACTCACATTAATCCAGCCTCCATTGGCTTCATTTATGTAGCCATAGAAGCGCTGTAAAAATGCACCACTTATCCCGTGGTCCGCCATCATCTTGAAGTGAAGGTCCACGACACCATCGCAATCATTACTATAGAACTGGGCGAATGAACCATCAGGGCGGGTGAAGGGAGTATCAAAGAGACATTCAGCAGGATATCCAGACACATCCGGGATCATATCAACGCCGACTGCAATGGGGATTAGCGTTTCCGATCTGGATATTAGGGCATCCATCCTTGTACTGACCGTGTCCAACTTCTGGCGATGGTGTATCCCTAGAGGCCGCTTATAAGCTACGTCAAGCCTTTGCATGCCATTAGGTGCTTACGTGGTCCAATGCGAATTGCCATTGTCTTCAAATGGTTTCCTAAACCATGCTTGGTACCCGACAAAGAATTTCCCATTCAAGGTGGACCGATCGATAGTAGAGTCCTGTCGTGCAACCGGCTGAAATGCTAAAGGATTGCATATGGACTGGCTCGCCAGACTCAATATGGCTGAGATTTGTAGTGTGCGGAACATACTTCCTGTACCTCTTGTGGCGAGCTGCCTCCCTCCTTATGAACAAGTCCATGTTGGAAATTACAATCCTATATATACTCGAGTAAATATGTTCTCTCAGGTCAGCGGGATATGGGTAGGTAGGACTGCTGGCGCCAGCCTTTCGCTATTCTAAGCGCGATGAGTAAGCCGAGGAGGCCGACTGCCATATTGAAAGCCCACGCTTTAGCAATCCAAGGGTGAGCATTGTTATTACAACGATCCTTAGTCAGGAAAGGAGAAACAGAACGGCCTTTGTCACACGACTTATATTGCCACCTATGGGCAGATGTGGAATACTCATGGTGATCATCTTTCAGTGTACCCATGATACCACTCTCCATGCTTACACAGGAGCGGTATTGAGCCCTCCATGATCATACCCACCAGACCAATGGAGGGCAAAGCTTGTGTTCAGGAGGCCTTTTGCCGTTGTGAGCGTCGAAGAGGTTTAGTGTCAGTGTCTATAACCGAACTGTTTTCCCTCTTGGCTGCTGGCTTAGGTTTCGCTTCTTCGGCTTTTTTGTCCGGTTTTAATAAAGTATTTTTAGACCGCGGGCTTATAGAAGTCGAAGCTTGTCCAGCTTCATCTTTCATGACAACATAAGCTACTTTTTCAATATCAGTAGCGCCTACTTGAAGCCGTTTAGCAAGCTTCTCTGCGGCGATATTCAATTGCTGATATTCCTTTGCGTTGTACTTGATCGGTGACTTCTGGCCATTACAACACAACCACCAGAAGGCTTCGTCCGAAAAGAAAATGACTCGTTCGGGGTCGTGTACAGACAGTAAAAGTGAGGCGGTTGCAGGACCTATCCCTTTTAATTTTGTAATGGCATCCATTGCTTTGGTGACATTGTCGTCGAGCCAGTATCGTGCCATTGCCTCCTGTATAATCTTGCTAACAACCTCTTCTTCGTTCGATGATACGAGCTTCATCAAGGTTGGCCGAAATTTCCCATGACGCCTGATGGAATGTTTAAGCAGGGTGGTAGCACTAAGGAGAGTCGAGCAGCACTCTCACCGCCAGAGGCGCACTTACAACTTCCAATCCACCAATGTCTTCACATCATCAAGAGCCATTTGTCGTTTTGGCTTGTTAGATCGAAACAAATCAGTGGCTTCCCCATACCGATACTCATCAAGTGTAAGGAGAGACGACTGGCCAGGTTTAGGCGCTGTACGCGATTAGTGAGGGAATTACTTGTATGAAGTATGCTGTCCACTCACGTTTGTCTTCCGACATGGACGCGATGAACAAATCATATTGGCTAAGCAGCTCGTTAAAGCGGCCGAGGGAGATGGTTTCTGAGAGAATGTCCGTGTCTGTCATGTTGCTGTATCTATGAGAATATCACTAGAGAAAGAAATGGAATCGCATTAATGACGTTCACGGGCTCAAGCAAAAAGTTGGTTGTCGATAATCATCAAGATCTAGAGCTTTTATTAGAGGTAGGTATTCATGAAGGTGGACGGCTGTCAACCATATTTCTGTGGATGAGGCAGTGGATCGGACTCAGGTGTACATGAAGGTACATGAATATACATATTCTAGGCGGAGATCTAGACCCCAGAATCCCGTTAGTCATTCGAGCTAGGTAGATATACTTTTCTCTAGCGCTAGTTTGTAGGGAATCTCAAGTACTCATATCTTGTGCTAGTGCCCAAATAAGCCTGAGCAATACCGAAAAGCCCACTGCATGGTACTCCTTAGTATCGTCGGGGCACGTAGGACTCAAGCTTGGTTGGTTGCAGCGCACTTACAGCGACTGCGAGTCGCCCATTGGCGCCCTCAGACTTTTTTTTTACATGTACTTGCCGTGACAGGTCTATTTTTATTTGTATGTACATACATATATTTCTAGTCCAAATCCCTTCACTTTTTCTCTGCCTATTTTCTCCATTCTTTTTTCCTCTTTCTCTGCAGATCTCACCACCAGCCCCTCACCGTTATCACAAGCCAAATCAACTAGGCTGTCCATTCCTTCAGACCACATTTCGTCGTCTTCCACCTCCACATATTTCAAAATGGGTAACGTATGTTTTGCTGTCCGCAATAGAAAGCATCAAGGCGTCCATACCGGTGTGCTAACATCCCCTTTCTTTGCTCAGGGCGCCAAGGCTCAGCAGAAGCGTGAGCGCAATGCGAAGGACACCAAGGCAAAGGGGTCGCAACTGAAGAGCGTAAGAAATTCAATCCCTGCCATATTATGCTCTCGAGGCGATAGACACTGATACCAAAAAAAAAAAAATGCAGAATGCGAAGGCGATGGATATCCAATGCGCTATTTGCAAGTCGACCTTCTTGAAGACTACGCGCGCTCCTCAGTACGTTCCCATCATACTTGCCGACATAGACCCCCTTCTGTCCAGGCCCTATATTTTTCCTAAACAAAGGCGCCTTCTTAAATGAACCTGCGCTCATTGATGTCCGTCTAGGCTTACCGAGCACGCCGCCAACAAGCACAGCAAGGCCCTGATCGAGTGCTTCCCAGGTTACGAAGTCGCGTAAGCTGAAATACACGGGTGAAATGCGAATATGGACAAGGCACTAGCGATAGCGCATTTACGGGTGTTTAGCGAGAGACTGTTTGAGGCGTATGGGCGGTTTACCAATATTTAACGGATCTACGAATACATGACAAACAACCTAAAAAATCCTCTTTCTGGAGTCATCGTTAATGAATTGTGTTTCCAAAAAGTTGATGCTCATTTCTTCAGTGTGCTTTGACAGCCTGTCTACTTAGATCGATGGCCTCATTCTGAACGCTGGCCTGCCCTGCCTTCTGGGCCTTTTCTTGCGCCTCGCTGGCTTGTTGCTCACGAATACTCCGCAGAATATCGGGATACCACCTCTCGCCAACATCCGGATGCGATTTGACGCGATTCCTCAACGTGGCCTCGCCCAACGTCTTTGCGACGCCACCACTACGAAACGTGAACTCGACGTCGTCTAGTCGGCCACCATTCGCCTCTAAAACTTTGCGTCTCTGGTCCTTGATAGCCTCTGGGACCTCGCCCACACCGATCGACTCGAGCTCCTCGAACGTCGAACTTCCCCTGACTCCCTGGAAGAAAGGGATCGAAAAGCGCGCCCCTGCGCCGGCCTTGGGTGATAACACTCGGTGTGTGGTCGAGCAGCATACCCCTTGCGTCAAAGCCTCGAGACCTTGACCAATAGCAACGACGAGCGTGCCATCGATAGGCGGGCAGTCGATCCATTCGCCCTTCATGTTCTGCACTTGCAATCCCTTGTGATTGCTCGCCTGCAGCAGGTAGGACGTTAACATGCTGTCTTTATGCGGGCCGACACCCTGGCCCTGCACGTCACTGCCGAGCTTAAGCTCGGACACATCCGGGTACTTGACAATCTTGAGCTTATGCTGCTGGTCCTTGTCAAAGTATCTGTTGAATGCGTCAGCCGGCAGATCAATTGCCTCTGCGATGAGTGACGTGAACTGGATCGAGATAGCCCCCATCCGCGAAATGTAGTCGGTGTAGACCTTTCGGAAGTTGGGGAGCACCGAGGCAGATGGCCACTGGTTCGGCGCAAGTAGATTGTCCCAGATAGGTGCGTCCGGCCCCGGAATCGGGTGCTCAGTAGATAGGTCTATCTGCTCCCTGTGGTCGACGGCGCCGGCTGTGATCTCAGCCGATAGCTGTGAGTAGCCTAGGAATGACGGCGCATTTTTCATCTCGATTTTCAGTCTTGGGGTCTCATATGTTAGTACAAGCTGCTATTAAACTTAGACTATAGCATGCTTATATAGCTTGCCGTCAAGTAATATATCAATTTAGCTGGGAAGATAAAAAACGTACTTCTCTTCCTGCGGGATATCGAAGAACGCCCGCCCTTCGCTGATCACGTCGCGCCATAGCTCGTCAGGGATGCCGACGTTCTTAAGGTACAGGAACCCGACTTCCATCAGCGCGTGCCGCAGCTCGGCCAGGAACTGCGGCTTCGTGGCCGGGTCGCGCGATTGCGCCAGGTCGAGGATCGGGATGGACGTGAAGGACATGATGCTCTCGCTTTGTAGCTATTCCAGTGTATACTGCCTACCTAGGTATTTACCTACTTACTACCAATGTATGCAAGTAAGTCCTAATTATGCGGGGAAAATGGGATAACCTTAACTCGACCCTGGTGCTTTATGACCAAGTACCCGGTTCAAGATATATAGGAAATCCAGATTATAAACTAGGTAGTGACATAAAAAATAAAAATAAGAAAGAAACAAAACTACAATATCCAGCGAGGATGGGTAGACGAGACTTGCTTATAGCTAGATAGCTTCCTTTTTACCTAGGTACGACCAACCTATTGAGTGAGGTGAAGTAGATAGCTGATGTCGCAATTCCGCTCCTCGGCCGACGACCAATGCCCCACTCGGGCTTTTCTTGTCCTCACGCCACCTACAACCTACGTACTACGACGGGGTAGATATGGGGGTGGGTGATATTCTTGGCTTTCCCGGCCCGCGCCGTCCTCGAAGCAAGCCTATTGGAAAGATTTATACGAGGTAGATTGCCGAAACGCATGAATAAGCAGATTACAAAGCATACCTACCTATCTATCTTATTGTTGCCGACCTAGAAGGAGTTGTGCGATCGAAAGGGGGGAATAGACACAAGCAAATCAATTGATATCATCAAGACTATATTTTTTCATTGTAGATCACAATTATTTGAAGTATATACGTAAAGAGTAGTAAGTCTCAAACATCTATTGTTGCCAATTCCAAGGATGGAAAGTGGCTAGTATGATATTCAAGAGTACTGTACATATCATCGTGGGATAAGTAGGCTTTAGACGATATCCCAGGGTATCATTTGCCTCGATGATATGGCCATCGCAATCAAGACCCTTTTGTTTAAATGAACCCAAAGCTCACTTCTTATAACCCAACCCCCAATAACATCTAACTTCTACTGAAGTTACAAACTTCCAAAACAAGCTTATAGCGAATTGGTCTTGGCGAGCCCAACTCGACTTTGTTGTGCTTGTTCATGTCCTCGCATTGTCAGAACGCATAACGTCTCAAGGTCGACCAATTATCAGATGCCAACTTTCGTAATGGCGACCACAGCACCTCGTTGCATCCGGCCCGGCTAGTCTCAGCCCAGACTTGAGAATTGTGCTGATCATCACATATGGAGGCCCGGCATGCGCCTGACGACGTCAATCATGTAGAGTAGTGTATATGACGCAGCAACGCGAAGGAGTATATCTTATGTCATACCATGCCAACTTTCGCGTAGCGTAATGGGTCGTAATAGGTGCTATTTCTATTGCGACGATTATCATGGCGCGGGGACGGCCGACTTGGAGGTGGTGAATAACTTCGTGACTTGATAAAATAATTCTTCAACAGGGGGCATGGCAAAAGATGGAGCAGTGTCGAACAGCTCCGCAAGTCTTTGTGGGGCAACAACAGCTGGGTATACTGCATCGTCATCGACTCTGTCGGTCATGTCAATGTCCACATCGTCCTCGCTCGCTTCCTCGTCGTCTTGTTCGAGGGTTAAAGCCGGCGTTATAGCTACATTCCCGTTTACTATCGGCTCTTGATCTAGTTGGAGATCGGCTAAGGGATAAGCAAATGCTAAAGAGTTTGTGTCCATATTGTCTGCTATAGACCAGATCTGTGCAGCTGAGTCGAGAGCCAAAAAGCCACTGGAGCCAGGAGGGGACACTAGGGATGTAATGGGGTTCTGGAAGCTTTGTACCAGCTCTGGTTCGCATCGGTCAGGCCTAAAAATGGCAAGTTCTGAGCGCACTTTAGTTGACCCCCTTTTGCCCCTTGAAACGGCCACGGCAAAGCGGCCAGTGTGGAAATCGGTTGCAAGATGGTTCATAATGGAGGCGCCTGGACCATGCGCGTCTTCTTCTTCAGGGCCTTTCGCTTTTCTTAACTGCACTCCATATTGCAGCTCGTCGAGAACAAGATCGTATACCATAAGCGCATCTGATAACACGATTAGGCTTGTTGAGAGAACCGAGATGCCCTGAATATTTCCCTTGATAAGTCCATTGAGCGAGTTTCGAATCTTGCCGCTCTCTGGATCTATGACTTGAACTATTGATCCGTGCTCGTGGACCACAGCGCACACTAGAACAGAGCCGTCTTCAGAGAAGGCAATTGCGCCTGAACCATGAAAATATTCGTTGGGTGGCTCAGGCTCCCCCGCAGTCTCATTTCCATATAAAGAAATTGCTTGTGAGCAATTCCAGCTATACAGCTGGCGCCCCTTTTTACCCTTGATGATCAGCCCATCTCTCTGCCGGATAATTGGCTGCCATAACCGAGCTATCCCATCTCCGCCGACGGTCGCAAAGCGGTCTGATTTGGGATCAGCTGCCAAATCAAATACCGACTCAACTTGGTTGGAATGGTGTGGTGCATCAATACGAGTCATCAGTTCCAAATTCTCACTTTCAGCAGAGACAGACCAGAACTTTAAATACGTTTCTTTCCTTTCAGAAGACGATCCTTCAAGCACATTGACATCTCGCGAGGGTGGCTGCCACTCGTCGGCTGTAACAAGCCAGCGGCCATCATGCGAGTATTTCATGCGAGTTACTCGTGGTTCTGTGATGGGATGACCTCTGGACGTGATATTAACGTCTGTTGGATTTGTTCGCGTTAACGCTTGTCTCGAGACGCTCTGCATAGTAGTTAGGTCTAAGGATTGTATCAGTGGCATGGACGGACCGCTGCCTGAGTAGCTGAGCTTTTGTCCGTTGCCAACACAAAGAAGCATTTGTGATGAATTAGAGGGTGATACAGCAGCTGGTATGGTTGTTAACCGATCAGGTGTATACTGCCCAACCCGCTTGACGTTGTCATCCTTCGAGATCGGCTGAGGTGATAATAGGGCCTGGATCCCCGAAATATAGGTAATGGGCTTCATCTCAGCAGTTGAAAGCACCATAGTGGAGTTGTCATCTAAATGAAGAGCGTACATAGAGCCGCGTTTTGAGACCACAATGTTTTCGATGGTAGCAGAGAGATGAGGTAAGAAATCCTTCTTCTGGGTATCTAGCTGCCAAAGTACCAAGGTCGATTCTGAACCTCCCGAGAGTATGTAATTTCCTAAAAATTGATTTTAGCAGTGCATTTATCATAATTAGCTTCTCTCTCTTACCATCGCGTGACCATTTCACAGCATGGACGGCTTTACGATGCCAGTGATACTTGCGGGGCTGCAGAACATGATGGCGCGCCTTGGGGGTATTTAATAAGCGAATTTCGGGCAAAAGGTCCTTGTATGCAAACACAGCTCCCCGAGCGCAACCGATCGCTAAATCTATAACCGGCACATCACTCGCTTCGCGTTGGGATTTGCGGTTAAGATGGACACGGTTGGTGACTTGGACATCGAGGCAGGTAATCTCATCGCTCGCATCAAATGTTACAGCCTCGTAGGAGAGACCTTCCAATCCCTTTATTGTCTCGCTGGTTCGAGACCCGATAATAACAATTCGATCAGCATATGCGACGAACGTGTACCCGGTATGGGCAACTCGGAGGTTTGCAATGGGTGATGTGAACGAAAAGATAGGTTTAGATGCGACTAATTGAGAATTCTGGATATCGCACGCAACAATATGCCAAGCTTGCCCTTTCTTTACTGAAGCATAGACTACGTCTCTGGTATCCTGGTCAAATTGAACCGAATCGACGTGCATGTCATATAAACGGTCGCAAGGCAACTTCACCTGAGCTTCTGAGCAAGAACCCGTCTCCCAGTTGATAAGCCATATTGAGCCACCGTGTGAGGCAACCCAGACATGCTTTGGGGTTGTCGCCGAGGGGCATATGGCAGCAATCTGGTCCTGTCGTCCGTCGATCCTTGAGAAGTTGAGTTCGATTTTGCGCAGTAACAGCGAGTCGGGAGCTGAGTAGACTTGGAGTGAGGTATTATATGGGAGGATCAGATGTCTATGCAATAGCCAATTAGCAGCTTGTCTTATGACCGCGTTGGGGGTATAGACCTTACTTCTCGTCTTCAGTCAAGATAGGGTCTATGTTAAGCATTCGTCCGCCGATAGGCTCAGAGACCCTCCATTTACAAGAATCACCCTTAAAGACTAGCTCTTTACCGGATCTCGACCTATGCTTGTGCTTATCTTTCGCTTCGATTTGGGTCTCGGCTTTGACCATGTCCAACATCTTCCCTTCGAGGCCTGAGCCGTCTGCGCCGCCATTGACCAGTATTGTAGGCTCAGATTTGATATGCTGTCCATTGGTGATTTCAGGTTGCGTAATACTACCGCTCTGTCTCCTTCTTCGTTTTCGTTTGTTATGGTCGTCGAGTTCTCTTTTGCGCTTGTTGGCGACAGCCTAGCAGCAGTCACTTGTTAGAAAAGGACTACAGACGATGCTGTCTGGAATTCTCATGGGATCATATAACCAACCTCTGGTGTCATTACGGGCGCCATGGTTCGAAGACGTAGGGGTTGGCGTCGCAGCAACAAATCGAAGACCCTCGATCGACACAGCAGGCGGGACTCTGACTTCTGCTGTAAAAAGTTCACAGCTCCAACCTGAATGTTTTCGTAGCGGAGCAGCTGCGATAAGGGATCGATAAGAACTTTTTTCAGTCAGGGAAGCCGCAGCATAGGTAAGATCCCGGTTCCATTGGTCACCTTTGGGTACAGCCCCACAAACGTCCAAGGCGATGGAAAAGTCACTTCGTACCTCTGCCCGCTAGGGATTCCACTAGTACTCATTGGAGCTAGTAGCCACTGCCGCCTGTGGGTCCGGCTTTGAAATATTCAAGGTTGTCGCGAACTGCATCGTCTTTCATTGCCTTTGTGATTTCAGATCTGCTCGTGTTCGCGCATCACTATACCTCTCCTTGTGCCGCTGCAAAGAACCAGACACTTCGTATATACGCTGATTAAAGATCGCCAAGATGATTATTCCGATTCGCTGCTTCTCCTGCGGGAAGGTGGGAGCTCCTATCCTCGAATCTTCCCGCCATTCACGACAACTAACCACATAAACACAGGTTACTGGAGATCTCTGGGAGCGCTATCTAAAGCTGATAGACGAGGGCATCACCGATGGGTTTGTTGACCTCGCCCTTCTGCGATTGTGAACTTAGACTTATACGCGCTATAGTGATGCGATGGATCAGCTTGGGCTCAAGCGATACTGCTGCCGTCGCATGATCATGACCCACGTCGACCTCATTGAGAAGCTGCTGAAGTGAGATTTCCCAACCGCCCTCAAGCTGCTATCGGAGTAAAACACAATATACTAACATCATGCAAAGGTATACACCGGACGGACGAAACGAAAAGAAGCTACAACTCGGTAAGGACGATTAGGGATTCCAAAATGCGGGTTAGAAATGAGGCCGGCAAAATACTGCATTACGAGGCGTTCAGGTTCAGCGGGTTTTACATTGGCGTTGGGTCCAATAAGTGGACAAAAGAACATTACTTTTCAAGCCATATAACGGAAAGCGCCGTGGTATACTTACCGAGCGGAGGTTCACGTTCGAAAACACACTGGGGCTAGTCTCTGGTAGAAAGTTGAATGGCAACATGCTAGTCGCCTTCCCTTTTATATCAAAGAACCCGAGTCGTCGTTTAACAGAGAGGAGGTGAATAAGGCCTGTGATGAGCAGGAGCCAACCACCTTGATGGATCACTTACAACATAGGATATCCCCAATAAAGGCAGTTTGTTGTTATCCTTTTTCGTACGTCGAATCGCCTTGTCATGGTACCCCAGCGATTGTAAATGCCTAGAGTGGCCCAAATCTTCCCGGCCCATTCTCTCATCCTCTTTAATATGCCTACAGTCTCGGCTGTCTCTTTACGAACCACGCATGAGAGCAACTGGTAAGGATTGCATCATGCCTATGATGAACTTCGATCAAGAAGACATTTCATGGGCTATCTATTAAAAGCTCAGTGTAAAGGTGTGCCACAGTGTCTGTCATGGTCATAGAGCATGCGCTTATTCAAGGCCAAAGCGATAATAGAATGAAAGGGTCATTTCTGTCATACACATCAAGGGCCGTCCAAGTTCGGGCCGTCCATACTCCACTCCCTTTCGGTGACTAGGAAACTATCCGCTCGGGAGGCGTAAAGCTCTTCAGACAATTGTGCACCTTAGCTGGGTGTAATTTGCCGGAAATGCCGCTCAAGGGTCCACACAAGCACAGTCTTTCAAGAGTGAACGGTTTGTCAAACACACCGAAATAGTCAATTGGGCTTCGCACTATTTCTATCATGATTCCTGTTTGAAAATATTCTCATGTAATGTAGTTTGTACATTTAGGCAGGCTCCCGCAACTGCCGCACGACTTCAGGGATGAATCTTGGCTGGGATAAATCATCAAAAGTTCTAGGTTCCACGTTTAGCTGTAGGTCTATGTGATATCCAATGCACCTCTGCTCATGTCTGCTGTGCCATACGGCCGGTGGCTGGCCGCCTCGCGTGGTGTAGTTATAGCTGGCAAGCCTGGCAACCCTTACATGAAGTCGGCTCCATTTAATAGGCTGGGAACAACGCTGTCAAAGCGGTGTAGGCGCGACTGCCACCAACAGTATGATGGTGGCGACTCCGATTTAGATACATGGTGTTGATCTCTCGGTGATGAGCGTTTCAGGGGTTATGGCGATTGGGCTCGATCTAAACACTGCCGGACCCTTGTGGATCGAAACACAAAGACAATCCTAACGCTTGAATGTAAACAACAGCATGCGGTCCTACGTGAAATCTTGTTATAGAAGGAAACAGCTCAGCCGCTGCTGTATTTATGTAGCATCATGCTTACGAACCATTTGGAATCAAGCCAAAGGGCGTACATAAAATTTGGTCATACCAAAGTGCTACGTAGATGCTGCAAGGCTCGCAAATTCGCCCATGAGGCTGGCACATATCTACGCTGAAACCCACGTTGACCTACACACCTTCCAAGAAAGAATCGAGGTTGACCATAAAGTACCTACCACAAGTACGACATCCAACAAAGCTCATTGGTTTCAGGCGGAGACATGGTGAGCTTTATGCCGATGGAGGCAACCGGTTATTCCTGGCATGATATCTCGGCCTATAGTCGGTGAGCTCGATTCTTGCTCACCTTGATTCGTAATCTCTCATCTCCACCGCCAGATTTTTCAGCTACACAACCTTACAGCTAACAGTTATCAGATAGTAGACTCTTTACAACTTGGCATCGCGTTTGCTGGTACTCTAGATTTCGGACATTTTCCAGCCTTGCGTCTACAGGATCATGCATCAAGGCGCGTATGCACGCTGAGACCAACTGAGTAAAACAATAGTTTCTAGAAAAGCGCCCCCTCGGAATACGGCGCATAAGGCTATGCTATCTATTATTTCATTTTACCGGCGGCACAGAGGTTCGCGAAATCTTCCACCCTTAGTCCCCACCAAAGGAATGCATGTTGGTGTGTATAGTGATTCTGTGTGTCTATCCACGCGAGAGCCACATAGTTTAGTATGGTGCCACGTTTTCGCCATTCATCACAGGCTCCATCTTCGAAGTCATCACATGTTAAAGCTTGGCTGTGCTCAGCAATGCAACTGGCTGAACGCAACACCGGACATCCATGATGTTCCGTTCTGTCGGGAGTGTAGCGCGTCTGATAGTACCAACAGTATTAAATGCTGCAAACAACTTGCATCAGCCTAGCAGAAGGATTCTCGACCAACTTACCAGGCCGAGAAAGGTAACGTCTCCCATGATGAAAAACAAAGTACGGTAATATAGAGAAAACAAGATTCCCACGACACTGGCTGCGCGTTCCGCTACTGCTAGGCACAAATCCATTGGCGAATGGGATTCGAGACGGTCTCGCAAGACCAACCATCTCAGGACAAGGATCACCTTTGAATTGGCGCGGAGAGGCCTTCTTGAAACGGCAACACTACATGCACACTCGCTTATCATGAGCTCGCGGGCAGTTGCACAGTATTGATTGATTGACTGTCTCTCAAATGCAGGCTCACTGAAAGACCATAGGACGACCGGGAATAATTACATCAGTTGAGGCTTACATGTACATCTTGAGCTGAACTACAGATTTGGCCCCCAACTTATATTATTGAGTACATCTAAAACATGGGGAGAAACATTGGACGAGCTCGTACGTACCCCTATCTCGTCCCAGAAAAACAAGCTCAACACATCTCACATGAGCCCACCCTATCAGGCAGTGACAACAAACAACACGAAGCCGTGCTACGATGATAATTACAAGGAGGCTAAGGCAGGTGATACCAACAGGAAGATGCTCGGTATTTGTAAGTATTCGAGCGTTCGTCTCGAGGGCTCCGCGGCCCACACCCGTTGGCCCACCTAGTCCTAATAAAAGACTCGCAACCAGATCTCCGGGACATGGGCAAAGAAACGCCTCATGGGCGTGTGGAGAGCCGGCTCGTTGTACCTACACCTTTGTAGTTAGCCGGATGTACGTTGGTATGTTCTACACCATGTACATGGCTTGATTCGAATCCCATCCCCTCACCTTCAACTTCTGCCCTAACCTAGTGTTACCGTCTAAATGTAGATACAGTAAGGTTAGGTAAACATCACAACTGCCATACCGGATCAGATCGAGCTGTCTGTTCCCTACCAACAATTACTACCTAACTAGGTACTACATGCCTCCCGCCGGAACCAGAATCTGCTCTTCTACTTGGCTAATAGTATACCGAGGCATAGCATACACGCCCACGCTAATTATCTACCTGGGTAGCTAGACGAACATCATTCTATGTGTCTACAATATCGGTGTATCCTAGATCTATCTATCCGCATCAGGCAACACCGCCGAGCCTTGACTCTACAGTACGGTAGGTATCGTACTCGGTAGAAGCAGTTATCATGGTGACAGGTACGTATTATAGAAGCCCATGACTTAACCCGGCCATGTGCGCAAGGCGGAAATGTAGTGGACTCTGGCGCCATGTTGCCAACGGCGTCGGTGCAGAGACAGAATGTCTCGCTTTCTCGCCTTTCCCGCCTTCCCCAAGCCTCGTCACTTCAATAGCGCACGCCTGGTGGAACTTTTACGTCAAACCGAGCGAACCTACCTAGCTACATAGTAGGTACCTAGCCAAGCCTGAATCAAGCCTGACACAAGCTTGCCAAGGGCGGCCGCATCATCGCGGGGCTCTGTGGGTGGGTGAGGTCGAGTTGATCCCGTCTGCTACCATCTAACGGAGTCGCCAGCTTCAGTGACAAGCACAGAAGATGCCGAAGAATATTGAGCATACGAAAGTATGGTACTAGCCATAAGGCACGTACTCCTCTCTTCCCCCTCCATCATAACTAAGTAGACCTTTTTTTCCCCATATAAGGGCAGGGATATGTATGTGGTCTAGTGTAGGTGGTGGAAATGCCTCTCTGCTGTGACTCGTCGGATGAAGCGATCCACCTGCTGCTAAGCGCCGAGGGGCCTGTGTGCCAATGTGAACCCTCATCTCCTTGCCTAGGCTTTTGCCCAGACTTTCAGCTTGGCCGCCTTTGACTGGTCGACTCGCCCACTCCAACTCGAAGTGCAAGTCGCACAGCGGCAGGCTGGATTGGTTCAGTGGGAGCATTCTGCGTTTGCATCTGCATCTGCACCGTCCCAACGTGCCATCGCGACTCGGGCCAGCTGTGCGAAACAGCCCAATACGCCTACCTACTCAAATCTCACCAGCAATTCTGATCTGCCACCCGTTGTTATTGCTTACCTTATGCGACACATCGACGAAGAGCCTCCGTGCGACCTCAAAGACTTACTTTGTAGGTCCCGGGTGGAGAGATCCTTCGGCCAGGCCACCTACCCATTGGCTCGCCGTTGATTTTGCCCTCTTCTCCGTTGTACGCTAGGCTAGACCGTACCGCACTCTCTCGCACGATACCCCGAACCCTGCGTGCGCGCCCTCTTTTTCCGACCTTGCGCCCGCTTGGCTAGGTTTATGACCTCCCCTCCGGCTCATGACCCTAGGTATTTCGTTTGATGTACAACGGTACGGGCTTGTATGTACACTTTCTTACCAAAGGATCACTAGCTCTGCCTGCCTGGTCGATTGCCTAATATCCTTGGACGAACTCTACTTACAATATCGGTACCTACTTCCGTACAGATAGTACGCTTTGTTTCCTGAGCTTTGCGTAGAGCCCGTAGTGTAAGTCGAACGGTCGGCGATTTGGGTTACAGCCTCTGCGGTGGAGCTCTTCCAGGACCTACTAAGTGTGTGCCTAGTAGTCGTTGGAATTCGAGCGTGAGCGCTTCCTCTTCTTTTGCCCCTCCTCTATTAAATAAACCTCCATAGTCCGCGCATTGGTGTGTTGTCCTGGGCGTTTTGCTCATCTACGCTTTCGAGCATTGGTTCCATAATTATTCGTGTCGTTTTCCTGTTTCTTTTTTTACTCGTCTCGACAAACACCCGGTTTCCTTACGAGCTTTCGCAGTTAGCTAGCATAGCACCAGCACCCCCCGACCGCGTCGGCCCGTAGCTAAATTGATACTCTCCGGGACGGACCAGTCTCTAGCAAACAGGTTTGTTTCCCGTTTCGCCGACTGTCGCGCGGCGCTTTCGTTTGCAAAGACACGCTCGCCAATTCCCGTAGCTTTCTACGTTGCTCAAACCAATTTCCCACACGGCCACGCGCATAGCGCAAGCCTGACCGAGGAGACCCGTCGTCTTGGCCACTGTAGCCAGCTATTAGCTACACTGTCGCTTATTCTTGAACAAGCGCGTTGTCGGGGGAATTGGAGCTGCGGTGGCGCTTAGAGACACAGGTAGATCCACGCCCAAGCGCCATCTATAGAATCCATTAGCACTGTTGGGCGACCTGTTTTGTGGCCGTGTTACAAGCTAGGATCCGTTCGTCATGGCTCTCGAAGCCCCGTTGAGATCGTCAACTGGGAGTATATTATCTAGCTTTTCAGCTCACTCCGATATGTCCGTTCCATCGTCAAACTCTCCAGCTCTTCAGCCTCCCTTTCGACCAATGTATGTGCCCGGATGCTCAATAACCATACTCTAGTAGATAGCTGACTTTGGCAGGTCTTCAAGCTCTGCAGAGTCTAGCGGGCTTCGGCCATCGTCGGCCGCTGCTGCTCGATCATCACCTGCTCCCTACCTCCTGAGTCCCAGCGACATTGTCGGCCCTTCACCCGTCACATCAGTTGGGACGGATGCGACGGAGATTGAGGAGGAAGCCTCCGATGAAGCGCGGTCGCTCTCAAGCGCTGCCGGTTCCGAAGCTCAGCCGCAGGTTGGTCGCATCTATAGTAGCATTGATGGTAATATCTAATATTGATAGCTATTAAAGCTGCGGACTAATATATCCGACCAATTTCGGCAAACGGCAAACGAAGAGGCAGTCTCAGTTATCCATGCCCCCGAAAGTTTCCAAAGCTGGGTTAGTTGGCTCGCCTATGTTGAGTTGTCAATTTACTCATTATTGTAGGCCAAGTCGGACACACTTTCCAAGCAGCCAGAGTCTACTCAGAGGCGGTCTCCCAGGCAATCCCCAAAGCTTGAAAATTTAGCTATCTCAACTCCCAATGACCGGGCTTCGAAGGTACTGCAAGCCAAGTTTACAAAATTCAAAACATGGGCTAACCTTATAGACCAAATCAATGGGGCTACCAACACCGCCACCATTGTCCACAGACGTCAAGCCTGTTCGGTATAGCATCGATAGTGCAACTCCTAGAGCTCAGAATCTCCAGGAAGTGCTTAGTGATTCCTCAAGACTACGATCCAGCAGTGCGAGCAGTCTAGAACGTAAGCATACCCATCTCCGTGTGTACCATGACAGCTAACATAAGTAATCAGTTATTCCTGAGATCAAGGAGCCTGAAACGGATGCTGAGCCAGATTTGGAATACGACGACGACGAAGAATACTCGACTCCTGTTCGAGGAGAGGGACAAGATGATATGGAGATTCAATCTCTACAATCAGCTTTGAAAGAGTGTTGGGTATTATGCAATACTTTAGCAAGCTTAAGCACTCATCACCGAGAAAGAGTTTTCAGTGTATCAGGCACCCCTGACGGGCACGAAAAGGCCTGGAAATGCTGCTGGAAGCTTTGCCAACGTCTATACGATAACAGAAACGTGACTGATGAGCCATTGCACGTGAAGGCAGACCTAGATCTCTGTAGGGACTTCTGTCAAGCTCTCTTTGATATACGAATGCGTTCAGACGGAATGTCTGATTCTATACTACGTGTCAGCTTTGAATTGAATAACCAGTGAGTAGCATTTGACTCCACAGAATAGCTGATTCTAATTTCGAGCAGTCTATACAGCGCACAGGATAATCGCAATCTACCTGAAGCGTTTCAAGAGCGAACCTTGGACTTTTATATCACTTTATGCCATCGACTGATGAAGCAGCGTGGACAGTTGGCCGAGGAGACAAATTCCCTCCTCCGCGCCTGTTGGTCCCTGGCAGAGATGCTCTTTAGTCTCCGCCAGAAAAAGAGAGACGGAAAAGAGCCGGATGAGGAATTACTTACCTCAGCCGTACAAGCTTGCTGGGAGCTGTGCGACATCTTCCGTGAAGGGTGGACTCAGATACGCCCAGACAGAGGAACACCACGGCCCAGCCAACCGAATTTTTTCACGTTTGGTAGGGAAGCTGAAGCGGACGGCCGTGCGAGTAGGCAGTCGAATCGCAGCAAGCGAGATGGTCAAAAACGAGATTCCACAGAGAAGCTCCGGAAACCTCCACCCGTGCCTGAGACCCCCGTCACCGAGTTCGAAGACACACCCATCTCACCTGAGAGTTCATCCCCCCAAGCACCCAACATTCTTGTCCTCGGGACGGAAAGCAATAGGGGTGGACGGTGGCCAAGCAGCGCCTCGAACCTCTCGGGCTACTCCCAAAGCAGTCAACGAACTTCCAGCACCGCGACAACCGCAACGACAACAGAAGACGTGAACATCTATCGAATCAAGGGACTTGTCCTAAAGGCAGCAATGAACCTAGGCTTTTCTCGGGACGGTCCCTCTGAGGGACATGGTAGCCAAGTCTCGCTGCAGACATTCGTCAGGTCCCTACCGCCAGGCTCATTCGGCTCACTGCCATCACACGCAACGCTTCTCCAGAACTACAAGAACTTGGTGGTATCGGACTCAGCATTCCGGCAGGCATCAGCTCTGCCATCGCGGGGCAAGCGCATAAGTGCCACGGACATGGCAAAGAGCGTGACCTTCATGACGCACCGATCTAGCCAGTACAGCTTCTTGCGAGACTTGTTCAAGATCGTCTACGGACACCACCTTGAGGAGATAGACTCTCGCAAGAACTTTGCCATCGCGGTATGAGGATTTCGGTCGCATACCCCTTAAAGTCGACTCAGTACAAAACGCGGCTACAAGTCCATTCCACGAATTGTCGGCATAATAAGCTGGATATAATTCTTTCTCCAGAAGGCTTCGACAAGCCCAACCCAATAGGCTTCTGCCGCTATCATGGACAATCCCTCTTATGCGAAAACAGAAGTTGAAAACGTCAAGAGCTTACTCGGGTACTCCCACCCAGGCATACCACAAAATCCCTTTTCTCCCTTATTTCTTTGCTACAGCCTAGTTCCCCACGGATTAACGTGATGATACCCCCTTTGCACTTCATATATCAGTTCATCAATCGTTTCATTGGAGTGAACCCAATTGATTTTAGCCGGCGTTAAAGGACTTTGATATTTCTTGATGGTGAGGCAACTCGAATATAAACATTAAGAACGAAAAGATATGTTTTTTCTTCTAAATTCTTTCTCTGCTGTTTTACATTTTACGATTTACTCCTCTCCTCAGCCCACCCCCTAACACAGATACAACAACTCTTCTTGCATTGCTCAGAACGTTATGAATAATGAAAAAAACTCTGGTTTAATATGGCCTGTTTGATTATTGTTGGAAATTGGTTCTCGTTGGATACTTCTATCATATGAAAAAAGGGAAAAGAAAAAGAACATCGCTGGATATGCCACCCACTGTGGTGATAAGAAAACATGTAGTAAAGGCTCAGGCACGGATGACTTGCCGCCGCTACAGTTGGGATAGGAGAAGTGTACGTGAGCTGTGGTATTCGGGGCATGTTATGCTGCCCCTATGAGTCAGTCTAGTCTAGCCTTAGCTTTACCTGATGTATTGAATGTATCGCTCTTGGATAATGCGACAGATGGACTTGTCCACCCTGTGCTCTCTCATCTTTAGTTCAGTTCTCTCCTAGCCAGATTAATCCAACTCTTATACCATGATTTGGGGGCCAAGCAAGTACCAGGTACATAGTTTACTACAAATGAGGTAGAGAATGCAAGGTGCCACACACAAAGAGTTCGGAACACACAAAGTCCCACTATCACTATCATTTAACGTTGGAAGGTAGAAGTCACATTCACAGGTTGACACGAACACATCAACAATACACATGCATAAAAACAAACAACTCCTTTTATTGCCTTTTGCATGAGAGCAACGCGATCGTGTCTAATCTACAGCGGTCCATCACAAGACTCTGCCTAGCTAACAAGCTCATGCCCATTGTGCTTCATCCCTGTGCTGCCACCCTGTCTATCTAGCTCCTCCATTCAGGAATTCGTTTCCTTCATTTTGGTTGCGCTTCATGACCTCTCACAGTGCTTCCTGTGATGCTCCTTATGCTCCTAGGACATAATGCGTTCGCATCATGTTCGCGCCGTAGCGCGCTATGGCAATAGCATCAACGCCCATTCATCGGGGTTAAATTGAAAGAACTCCATCATAATCAAAGCAGAAATCCGGAAACTTTTTAACTCTTTTTTTTTTTTTAGGGTTTTGTCTTTTTTTCATGCAGCTCTAGATGGACATAGATATATACCATTGTATATAGTCCACATGTGAAAGAGAGATTAATTCTGCCGTGCAGTCAATCGATATTGGCACATGCAACCAGCAACACTTGGCCGCTGTGAACTAAATGCCACACACGAGACAAGAACTCATGTCGCATTCTCCGTCGTCGCTGTCATCTTCGTAGTAGTTCTCTGCGTCACCGTCATCCACGACGTCTTGGTTCTCCTTGTCCTCCTCGTCATATGCAGCGCCATTGGCGATCTGCTCGCGAACAGGCTCCTCAGCAATGTCGGGCCCCTCCAGCTCGGTGAGCACGTCAACGTCTGAGCCTGGTACATCGGCGACGTCAACCACGTCGTGTTCTTCCACGTCGTATTCTTCCACATCATATTCTTCCACATCATATTCTTCCACGTCATATTCTTCCGCGTCGTATTCTTCTACGTCATATTCTTCCACCACTGCATCTGCATTCGCAGGGGCGGGGGAAGCTGGGGCATCTAGCTTAAGGAGACAGTTGGCACCAGGGGAATCCATATCATAAACTTCTGTCTCTGTCTTCTTCTCGGCCGCAGGAGAAGACTGCTGGGCGCCAGACTTATCTCCCGCCTCATTGTGGTTGGCGTCATTGTTGTCGTTGGCATGATATTTGTAGTAAGCAGCCGGGTAGAACTTTTTATGTGCAACGAAGTCGTATCCGCTGCCGTCCCATTGGTATAGAACATATGGGTGCTGTGGTGGTGAATCTGGACGTTGGGGTGGCAACTTAGATGTCGTGTTCATGGGTCCGGATGAAGCTTGGGATTTTGCTTGCTTGGCCGCTCGCTCGTGTTGCTCGATATCCTTAGGGCCGTCCTGATCCTTGTGATCCTCATAAGATCTTTTGACACCTTGCGTGGGGTTTGGGTTGAATCGCTTGCCAGTGAACATGTTGAATGAGCTGTACTCCGGCACATAGGTGTTGTTTGTACGAGGAGGCAATGGTGTATATCTATAGGGGGCAGGAATTCCGTAGTTGCTAGTATGGCGATAACCAGGATTATAACGGGGAATATTATATGACTGTCCTCCTTCGGAGGAGGTGTTGTTGGCGCTGGGAAAAGCGTTCAGTCCTTCTTTGGCGACAGAGCCGTTGTTTCCGTTGCGTGTACCAAGAAAGGGATTGGGATTGGGCGATGGTAGTTTTGCGGAGATGACATTGTCCTCGGAGTTGGAAGGGGATGAACTTGTAGCTTGTGAGGTAAGAATTGCAGAATTATGCTGAATATCTCTGACTTCTTTGCCCTTACCCTTGTCGTGTATGCTACAAGTATCGGAAGCCGTTATTTCATGAACGGCGCTGGAGTTTTGCCATTCACGGAGTGCTACGCCTGTCCAGTGGCTGGATCCCTCTTGACCAGCCGTGTTGCGTGTAGAATAATCTAAACGTTAATGATTAGCTTTAGCTTCAGCTGTGTGAGAGAAGATCGACGCCTTGAATTACATACCAATCGACTCAGCCAGGGTCACTGAGCTGCTAACGCTGCGAGTTTGCAGGTGTGGGCTCAAGACTGGCTGTGGAGAGAGATTGCCGGGGAAGGGAGCTTCAGAGTTGTGAGAGTTGGGGGCATGCGGTGGCTTCTGGGCTATCATAGCCTGCTGATCTCCATTCGTTCGAGGTACGGCAATTTTGGCATCAACACCACCTTGGGTGTTTTCACCCTGGGATATGTGTGGAGCATTGGAGGGAGGAAGCGGGATCAAGTCTTCACATAGAGGTGATCCACCATGGAATCTAGCAGCGCTCGAAGCCGAATTTCTAATACATGGGTCAGTGGTGTGACAGGGTCCAACATATTTCACGGGAACCTACAGAGGATGACCGCACAGTACCCGGGATAGTCTGAAGTTGAGACGATCAGCATAGACTTGAGGGTGTTGAGATGGTCGGGGTAGATAACGAGGCGTGTTGCCGTCTTCACTGAGATAAGTCAATTGAATTGACATCCGTGCTGGCTCCATGCTGTTGTTTGACTGCATGGATGGATATGATAAAGCTTTGATGTGTCAGCAAGAAGTCGGGGGTATGGAGAAGAAGGAGTTGGAAGATAGAAAGGTGACTGGAATCCTGGACTGCTTTATGTACTTAATTTTTCACACACCGACCCAGGAGTACCTGCACCGACTGAATGGCAGCGCTGCTGTGGTAATAGTATAGTGTCAACTAATGCCATTGTGATTATCTCGGTATTCACAGAATTTATCAGCGCACTGTGAGATCTAGCATGAGTTACAACTAATAACTAATGATACAAGCCCTACACCTCACAGTACCTACCTAGCTACAGTGTGAATCGAACCACAAAGTTGGTAGTGGTAGTGAATGGTATGAATGGCCGTACCACAATGAATGGAGAGTGGGTACACCCCATTGAATACTACACTCAATGGAATACAATAGGGTGTGCTTGTGACTATGTTGTTGTTGTGATTTCTGATATAATGCTTACGAGTAACGTCCTTTCAATGGCACTGACACATAGTAACGAGACCACTCGCGTGAAATTCATCTAGGATATCATGTGAATGGAAAATATGAATAGGAGTAAGATACTAGCTCGCAAGTCCAGACTTGGAAACATTTGCTTATTTATTTATTCTACGTAACCTGGCTTAACGTAGTGGCTAGATATGGATTGAGGAGAATAATAGAAATGTCTATTGCACATGCAGCTATGAATGGTGGCATGGTAACAAACATCCTGAGTTCGCCTAAAAGCTGCTTCTATGGTTCATATGTATGTCACTTGCCCTTTCAATGCATGGGGCAAAGGATATGCCATATCCCATCGTGATCTCATCTATTCTCCCGAGCCCGTTATTACTTATTGCACATCCCTCATGCTGCGAGAATAGGCCATGATGATACATGTAGAGCATGAAGGGAACCAGAGAATACCAGACCATCAGGAGGAGAGAAACGATAGGAATATTTAGGGAGGGTAAAAGCTCATTTATGTTACAAAGCTGAAGAACCTAGGAGTTATATAGAGAGCAAGACTCATGAGTGATGAATCTCTACAATATTACTAGGAGACAGTTGGAAGATGCCGTCGTCTCCGTCTTCAGCTTCTAAGAGGCTTCTATGTACCTCTAACATGTCAAGCTCTGTCAGGCCCAAGCGACTACCTCCCATCAAATGAGGAATCTAGCACTGATTCCCATTGATTTACATCATAGAACTGAATTGGATAACTTAGGCATAATTTTATTAGATCCTTGACTGTTGATGGGATAGATACTATTTAAATACTCTTAACGCTAGCAGAGTGTATAGTGGGTGTGGAGGCCGCTCAGGTTTCAGGCTCAAGACTTCTTACATAGTAGCTTGCTGACTTTGTATTCTTCAACCTGGCCTCGCAATGCGTATTGGCACAAGAGCATACGATTTATTTATTATGAATATTGAGGAACCGGAACCTAGGCTCATATCATCATTAGGCCGTAAGGCGGCGTTTCCAGTTATTGCTGGCTGATAAGGGTAATAATACACATAAGCCTCTGCCAATAGCCCCATGCTACGAACAAACGCACTCGCAAGTTTTCTAGATAGACAATTTAGATATAACCATGTTAGCCCATTAATGCCATGCTTCGCGAAAATTTTAATCGCTTTAAGCACATTAGTCATATCGCCTCTTCCTCATCATCAGCTTTGCGCTTGGCTCGGGGAACACGTTCTCATCTGCGTGGAGAGTCTTAGGCATAGATTTACCCTCAGGATATTTGAAGTCGAACTCGGTAAGTAGCCGCGCAAGCAGGAATTTGACCTCAGCCACGCCCAGAAACCTTCCCGGACAGGCCTGGTTTCCGTACCCAAACGTCAAATTGTTGTTTAAATCCGTAAGTACAGCTTGGTTCCTGTCGTACTGAAGCCGGTCTGACTGCCGCTTGCGGTAGCTCCGCATCGGGTCAAAGGTCTGAGGGTCTGGCGTAACTTCGGGGTCCATCTGGTGATCGCCATTGGCAAATGCGATTCTGCACCCCTTGGGAATATGTGTTCCGTCCTTGAGCGTATATGGCTCAAGCGCTACTCTTTGAGGGCTCACTACTGCCATTAGTATACTTACAACAACATAGACTAGGGCTGACTTACGAAGAATAGGAGGGTGAAATCTGAAACACTCCAACAGGAATGAATCCATGCGGTCTAGGTTTCGGTGCCACCGTCTGATATCAGTCCTGGAAGCATCGCCCGTCTGTCTGTTGACTTCTTCGATTTCGTCCCGCAAAAGGGGGAGCCACTCGGGGTGCTCGCAAAGTTCAAACAAGAAGATTGAAGTATTCGTAGATGTGGTGTGAACACTTGCCAGAGTCATTATCAATTGACGATTCGCCATCTCGGTGATAGTGGCCTCTTCTTCGTTGGCCTCTTCTATCATCCAGTCCAGGAGTGTTTCTTCATACTCTGGGTTCTCGCCATTCTTCTTTTTCTCCATCCACTCATAGTGCTGCTTCATCTTCGCGCCAACAACTTCCTCGGCTTTTGCGCGATGCACTTTCAGCCGATTGCGGGCTGGCACGAGTCTAGCAACGAAGGGCCGCATCCATGTAGGAAACATTCTAATGATGAAGGCAGTGGTGAATGCGTCGATTGTGAAATCAAGACATACCCTGAGCCACACTGGATCTCGGCAGGCTGGCTCTCCGACGAAGATCCTAGCTGACATGCGAGCGACTTGCATGCGAATAATTTCTTGGATATCAACTTCAACCCAGTCTGCAGCATTGGTTAGAAGATAACAGTCATTCAAATAGTCGTGTGGCTACTCACCATCCGTATGAGGCACATCAATCTTCCAGCCATAGTCGACTTCCTGGGCGGCAATCTCAAGATATTTCGACAGCTCTGGTGCTAATTTGCGCTTCATGACATGGGCATGAAGATCAGATCTATTCAAGAAGTGTAGACCGGTCCATTCGTAAAGCATGTTCTAGTCCTCTCATGAGCGATATAGTACACCATAGCTGGCACCGAAAACTTACAAAGCTAGTCGCGATTTTGCTACTAAGTATCGTTGGCGGCACCAAACGCAACTCCTCAAGATATCTAATAGGAAGGATGTTGTAGTCCGTGTCGAAACGACGGACTATGAATGGTGTATCCTTGTACTTCAAATTCTATTTAGCGAAGGCAATATGATAGATTTATTTTTAAGAGCGAGTACCTTCTTGTAACCACTTGATATGATCTTGTGCGCACTCAACACGAACCTGCAGTGTAACAAGAACGTGGGTTCGAACCAGCTCCTATAGCCATGGTATGGTATGCCGCGAATATTCTTCCCTGGCTTCTTAAACAGGACGGAAAGAGCCAAAACCGCAACTATCACCGTGGCTGCTATCTGGTCGGGTCTCGCAGAGCGAGCGAGCTCGACGAGATGAGCTATATGACCGTCTGCCTGGTACCACGACATGTTGATCTGAGCGTCGAGGTGAATGTTGAATGAGAAGGATGGGTGAAATCCACAGGCCCAGAGACTCGGGTCAGCGAACGAAAAGGCGGGAAAATCGACATCTTAATGCCGAGGACTATGAAATCAAAAGTGCCGCGTTGGGTGACTGGGTACCTGCATCACTAGCATCGCCTATACCGACTGGGTGACCCCCAGTCTGATAGTCCGGTGCTTCCTCTCGCCTGTGTGTACAAGGGTCAAAAGAGGAATGCGGTATTAGTAACGAATTTGGCTAGAAAAAACGTCACTCGACGATCCACCTTGATTGGACCTTCGCCACAGGCCAAGATTTAGTGGATGAGAGAAGGGAAATGAGGACTGCTATCGATGTACGCCACAAGCACAGCACTAGGATGTAACCCAAAATCCTTCGGGTCAAACGCTTCCGCTGAGCGGTGGACTTTGATAGGATTATATGCTCGCATATTTCCTGCTGTTAGTACTATCGCGCAGGTAAGCAGCTGCCGGTGAGGATAACAGTGCCGAGCGCCGGTGGTGCGCCGTTGCGATCGCGTCAGAATCTAGTGTGACGCGGCCTTCCGGATGTAGAACTCCGATCATTTCATGTGTTACTGCTAGGAAACGTACGTCCTGAGAGAAGCTCTCGTGTTAGGCAGCCGAGGCAGCTACCTAACACGCTTTAATATCTGTTTCATACACAGAGAATATAATCAACTGCTTGACGCGTGGGAATTCGAGCAGCACAAGGGTATGTCCCTGTTGTGAGACGACGGTTTGCGGACGCTCTATCATGCTTGTAGTCATTGGGAAGGCGTCTTTACTTGGTGCTACACGATATCTTGGGAACGGTGCATTGCGAACACCTGCATGCTTAGGGTATGTCTTTGGCACGTGAAGGATCTCAGTCGCAGAAATGAGAAGATGGAGCTGAAACGAATTTGTTTTCAAGCTTCTGGTAATCACAAAACCATATATAGCCCTATAGAGGATTCCGTAGAGATGATTGACACAGGTAGAAACTAAGCAGGTAACTTCATCCAACGCCGTGGCGCCCTACTTATTTCGCGCCCATCTTTTCCAGAATTTGCTCCAACACCTTTGTGCTCTCGTAGGTGTCTACAAACTCCGTGACCTGCGAAACTTGGGTTCCATCTTCAGTGAAGTTTAAGTCAAAAATGACTTCAACGGTGCTCTGGGATTCCGGCGTCCAGACAGTGGTCTCAACCCACAGGGTAGCCTTGCGCTCAACCGTGTCGATGACAGTCCGGGTGACGTTCTGCGCTACGTCTTTCATGGTATGGAGCTCATGCTGCATCTGAGCTTCGTAGTCGGCATTGCTGATCTGTTCCTTAAAGAACTGAGGGTATCTCTTGATGAACGACAGCGGGCGATACTGTCTAATACAATCTTTCGCAAGAGCTACCGAGAGAAGCGAGGTATTCTTCTGCTTCACGGCTTGTGTGTTGTTCTCTATAAAGGCATTGATCGTGTTTTGAATGGTTGCACGAAGGTCTGCCATGGTGAAGGTGGTTTGGTCTTGGGAATCGGCGAAGGTGTGAGCTGATGAAGGATATTTTTTGCGCCCTGTTGTGTAGCACTGATCGAAGCAGCAAAGTTAGAGGAAGGTCAGGCTAGGTTTCGGACTTCTCGCTGTATATACTCGAGTCCAAGACTCAACAACTGAAGTTTAGTTACAGGGAGTACATGGATGCTATAAATACTCCATACCAACGGGAGCCATTTTACCTTGCATGATGATTCCGGCTATTTGAACTACAAGTGTCCGAAGCCAACCTGCAAGGTTCCATCAGCCATACCAGCATGACTGACTGCCTACCGAATATGCTGCACTGTTTCTGGCCTTGAGTAGAAGTTCATACCAACCCAACCTTCACGTTGGCGACCTTGCATCTGCAAGTATTACCCCCTCAATCCCCCCACCCCGTATACTGCCCGTAATCCCTTGTGGCCCCTCTCTTCCCCTCATGGTGGTGGTATCGACGATCAATGCTAATGTAAACCCATAAAAGTTCCTTGGCACAAAAGTGCAGGAGTCTAAGCTTACTCCGACGCTACCGAGGCATTGGTCAGCCGTTTCTCTACCTGCCTCGCCTGTCCACTTGAGCCTGCTTAGCATATTATAGAATTCGGATGAACCCGTGGACAGAAATCGAGGACGGCTGGAAATCCCCTGTCAACTAGTTTGAATTTGCTATCTAACCAACAAAGACGTCTGGAATTGTAGCTTTTGCTAAAAGGTTATATATACATAAATAGACTCGTACATTCCTATCCTCATTCCGATTCCAAACCATATCCTCGCTATCGTAATTCAATTATCAGCACAGCCGATTCGTAAATCGCTTGCCGAACAAGTCTCTTTAAACACAGCATGGGTATCGATTTTGGCTCTATCCTCAATGAATTTTTTACATTTCGTGCATTAATTTTCTTTTAACCTGTTTTCGTAATGGGGAATTGGTCAAACGTCCTGTATTGGCGAGTGCCCTAAATGTCCCGACGGCGAGCTTCTGTACGAGTTCCTATTGATGTGCTCGTCACTCCGTTCCCAGTCAGTGACTGTGGGGTTTCTTGGGGGTTTTCTAGAAGTACGGCTAAGAACGTGGCTATATGCAGACTCCGAGGCAGTGCTGCTGTCCAAATTTGTCTTTGAAATATATCGAATCCAGAAAGACCTAATGGCAGGGGCGCAACCAACAGCCATGGCCACGAAAGCTTCAATAGTGCTAGAAAGCAGGGTTAGTAAAGCTCAGACCGAAGAACCGGGGAGACGTTTTAATCGTACAAGAAGAAGATTGGTGCGATCAACTGAGTACCATCGCCAAATAAAGCCACGTATTTGTAGTAAAGGGCAACAACAGAAGCCGCAATACCCCTAAGAATAATGGTTAGTTGACTTTCATGTCCTGAGAGCGGAAATAACCTACAATATACCAGAGAGGAAAGTAACGCTGAGCCCAATCTTCTTCGAGGTCTCTAGTTGTAAACTGAAGATAACAGGAATAGGCAAAATGAATATGACGGCGTCGGCAATTACGGACACAAAGCCAGATATGACTCCGGTGAGAGTATTGTCATGGGCGCATTGTTGGTATGCAATCAACGTGAGGTCGTCGGTTGCACACGAGACCAGTGTGAATATAAGTCCAGCAACATAGACAAGCCCCGTAACCAGGAGAGTGGCCCACGAGATGTACAGTAGCCAGCGATGAATGCCAAAAAGCTTGACATAGAGGAAGAGGATAGGCGCTTTGGTAAACCACAGGGTGCCTTGCACTAGAATGATGATAACAATAGCGAGCTACCATCGCTGCGAGTCAGTATCAAGACCTGTTGTTCGAGATGATCTATTGGAACTTACCCTAAAAAGGAGTGGCAAGTCGAGGTTCTGGACGGGAACCGATACGGCTGTAATGCTGTCAGTTCGAGTTCAATCAACGCGTTTAAGAGCAAAAATGAATGCCTTACCTCGTACGACGATGTCATTGACTGCATATGTTGTGACTAAAAAACTCCAGCCAACAATCGACATGTCTTAGGAGTTGTTAGTACGTGGGTGAGTGGTACAGTTATGCATGGTGGTAGCAACATACAGTCGTGCGTATTTAATTTCCCATTCGACGCATGGTAGTTCACAAAGCACCGCGCGCCGACCAGGACGCTCGCGATGACAATCAATGTGATTCCCACCCCTTCGTAGATGGGCAAAGTAATGAAAGGCATCGTGACGTTGAGCGCAAGCCGCCTCGCTTATTGATCCAGCCTTGCACACAGGCCTCGAGGGGGGAAAGGTACACGACGGGAATCGGAAAGATGAAGTCTTTGAGGAAGTGCGTGCGTGTGGGCAGTGCTGCTAGTGCAGAGTGGAACACTATTAAGACTCGTACGATAAGCGTGAAGGGTTGGCGATCCCTAAAGGGGGATCCTGAAGGTGGGTGACATCGTTGCTCTACTAAGCCCCATCAAGTTCATGTCAGCGAGAGCGGCTTAAAGGCGTTAGATCGGGCTGCACGACAGCTTTCCCAAGAGGTTGATCTCTGGTTGACTGCGACAGTGACAGTGACCACATACTCCTTCAATATTACAGTACTTGCTCTCATGCTACCGTACCATTGTCTGATCCTTCTTCGCCCTATTCTCCACGTGGGACTGGATGCCTCATTAACACTTGAAGGGTATATATGGGGTATATGTGACGCTATATTCGTCTACCTACCGAGAACTGTAAGTTATTCACTTAGACTCACTCTTCAATAGGTAACTTACTTAAGACGTCCCTGAGTACCACATTCCAGACAGAATATACTACTTATGTATGGATACTATAGAACCCTCGTAGAACCCTCGTAGAACCCTCGTAGAACCCTCGCAGAACCCATGTGAGACCTGCAACAAGCTAACTTTTAGCGGACCGTGAAAGACCATGTCGGAACCGCATCTTACGTATACTAGTATGCGGCAATTGTTGTGCTGGCCTTCCCATACAAGATCTGATTAGCTCGGCTTTCAAGCACACCATCGTTCAAGGACCGCCGTACGTAAGCAGAGATTATCGCCACTCCCAACCCCCCATCACAAGCTCCAATACCGGCCGGACTATTGATTACCTAAATCACGCTACTGTACCATGCACGCTGCTGGTATCTCATGTCTGCATGTATTACAATACCTACTAAGTAGTGTTGGCCAACTTGTACGGTCTTCTGGCTGCCGGCAGAGTTGTGTGTCAGGATGGCATCGACTTTTCTGAAAATAGCAGCCCCGGGCCGGCGATCGCCTATGTCGGATATTTCTAATACTTTCAATGTGTTATTGACCAGGAATAGCGACAAACGTTCCGGGCTCATCGCAGAATGAGTGGAATGCCTAGTAACTTGTACGACATGGTCCCTGCCTTGGAACATACTCACTACGCACGGATATACATGTAGTGCGATTCTAGTTAGTACATATATAATATTTCGCTTACGACAAAGATCCTAACACTATCTTGTCATCTCGCTCCTCTGTCTGGCGCAGGAGAGGCTGAACCCAAGTTCACATTAACTGCCGTATCAATAAAGGAATGACATGCTGTTCCCTGCTTAACAGCACGCTAAAGGCTCCTGCTACCAAGATAAAAGCAAAACCCACCTCTAAATGGGATGTCTCGGGCGGTACACTAGTGACTAGTGTGCGTAGAAGTCAAGAGACGAGTACTAATTAGGATGTTGAACGACAGCTTACTGATATTACCTAGTATAGTATCGAAACACCCTAGGGCCTTTAAGCAAGGTCTTTTGAGGCACGGTCCTTTTTAGATCATGCTAAATACCGACGATTGAGTAGTATTATGGATAGCAAAGGCATAGCATGGCCCACGGTTCTTGGTCAATATCATGTCTGCTCTGGAACGATGACTCCACACAGATATATATCCTGGGGGATAAATACAAGCTACTGGCAGGCGGATCGTAGTCATACTAAAGCAGAAGCTAAAAAATTAAGCGTTGTTGAAGAGTGCCGAAGCTGCTGATCCCAGCCACGACAATACTAAACACTTTTGGCACATTCTAGTATGGTAGCGCCTTTAATCAACCCTTCGTCACCGAGGCCGTTTCGCCGCTATTCGGTCAGAAAAGACCACCTAAGTTGACCGAACTTCCTTGTATCAGTTGCCGTTATTAGAAGTCCTTTCGCTTTTGAAAGTAGCTAACTGACGACGGATGCTAGTTGAAATGTAGCGGCGAGCAACATGGATGCCAGCGGTGTAGTAAGATCGAATGTTGCTATCCCAAACCACCCAATAACAGACGGAATATCAGGCACTCGCAACACCATACTATTCCTAGTAAAGCTGCGTTGGAAGCGAGTCATTCCTCAGTAGCCAAGGAGGGCCACATTCTTCCCCAGAAACCCCTCTCGATGACATACATGAACAACTTAACACAAGGGGACAAATATCCCCACAAGAGATACTGGACAGTAGCCCTGAGCACAGGTTATCACACAAAGACGTCTAGGGAAATTACGTTGACGACTTCTCTGCGGATGTCTCCGATTAACCACAGGGGGGAAAAGTCGGAATTTAGAAGATTGGCAATCGACGGTACCGGCAAATACCGCACCGAGAAGCCTTACCACAGGAACAAACACCACTACCGGGTCCCCACTGCTTCACGTGGCAAAGGATTCTACAGTGTTGGGTCTTCCTAGGATATCCTTCAAGTCGGAATTTTTGTGCTTCTACTACTCGTATGCTATTGGTAGCTACGAATCCATCCAGATGAGACTAGTGTGGAGGCCACACAGAAAGAAAGTTACTCCTGGTGCGCTTTTCATGGCTTGAAACATGCATTGGCAGAATGCGAGAACATCCTGCGGCTTCCGCACATCGCAATCCAACTATATCACTCTTTTCAATAGTCAAGAGTTTTCAATGTCAAGTATGGAAGGTGCATGTCAAATTCAGTCTTAGTGTCAGCAATGGTACGGGGATAGGCTTAATGAACCTTTCAATAGAGAAAAATAACGATCGTCGACAAAGTGAAAGGCGGGACAGGGTTCTAGGAGATGTGCCCAGCCACACCAACAAGGTAATAGTACTAAGACGATGGCAGTTCGATAGTCACGATCGAGACTCCGTCATTCAAGGTCTATTTTCGACAAGAGTCTCACAGCTCTCGAGTCTAGTGGCCGCAGCCAGGGGTGTCGAGTTGAGAAAATACGAGCGCGGCCACTCGCTTTCGCGACGAATGAGAAACCATGTCGATTCCTTCAGCCAAGTCGAGACATAAGTAATAAAAACTGCATTATTATAATTGGCTGTCAGGGTTGATGAAGCCGAGAAGTCCTAGGGTACCGTTGCCAATATTCGCTCGCGTACTAAGAATATGCCTTCTCCGCTTATCATGTATGGTAGCGGTGCAACTGCATACATGATACATAGTAGATTTCATGCGCCGCTACTGGGGATTTGCTGCTGAGGGGCGACGCTTAAATATCACAACATTATTTTTCGGGGCCATGGCAATTGTGTTATGTTCCACCCAGGACTCCGAGGCCCAGATCGGGGATAGTGCGATTAACCCAGCTCAATAACGTCACGGCCGCATACCAAGATTGCCTAGTAAATATGGGGGCGTAATACCTACTAGTAATGCGTGTTGGAATGGGTGTTTGAAAGGGTCCAACAGGGGAAAAAGAGTAAACACTAGTAGCGTTGGTAAATAGCAATGGCTTGCAGACTTCGACGTTAGCCCTTGTTTTGAACAGGCTCTGGAACCTCACATTTAGTTGCTTCCGTACAAGCTGACAGTTTCGATTGATTGATTATTTGCTGATAGGTGCTATGCTGCCTCGCAACATGACCGATGAGCAACCATCATCAGTGCTCAGTCGCAGCAATGGTTGTGGGGGGCACGTCATAAATAATAGAGAGGTCAACGCGGCCGCAAGGCATCTACTCCAGTTAGCATCTACCAACTGTGACCAACATGTCGGGCTGGTATTTGATTATAACCTAGTCAGTTGTTTTGAATGATTCTTTTGCCCGTGTAAAAGCTGACTGACTTACCAGGCTCTTTCTACATTCCTATTCTCCGGCTTTTCCCCAGCCGATCTCAACTACCCGGGCCTGGATGCCATGACAAATGTTGTTTCGCAAGTCTTCAATGCCGAGAAAGGGGTTGTTGGCCCCGGTAAGTGGCAAAAGCCCTCCCGTTTCCCCGAATCAGCCATTTGAATTAACAATTCGTTAGCCTCCCAATTGATGGTTGATGCGGGCGATACAGCCAATGCAATTACATGTCTAAAATTGCTTGGACAAGATGAGAGCGCGGCGAAGCTCATAGAGGTGCTCTTAGCGAGGATTCAACCTAGTGTCTATCGAGAGCTCAGCTTCAGTGCCAATTGCAATGTGTTGTTGGCCTTGCTATATCAAGACACGCCGGGGGACTACTACGAGTGGATAATGAAGAGCATTGGACTCCTGTGTGATGTGTGGTGGACAGCAATCAATAGGATCGAGTCGAAAGGGGTAACTTTCACCTCTGGCAAGTGGCTCGGTATACGCTAACTATTTAGTAGAACGTCTCATCCCTATATCCGACGCTCCAGTTCGTAAGAGCGGCCTTGAAATTGACTGATTTGGTTGAGAAGGGTCGCCTTCCTCCATTTGACGATATAGTAACCAAATCTCGCATTGCCATATGTTTGTACCAGGCATGCATCAGGACCCTCCTGGAGCAAGGCGAAAATGGCTCCTGGAACAGTTCAGTCGCAGATACTGCTCATGCTATCGTCATACTCACTGAAGCACGAAAATTCGACCTTTTTAGGGAGACTATGGATGAATTAGACTCAGCAATTAGCCGTGCTGTCAAATTTCTAAAGCCTTCAACTGTAGTGTCTGAAACCCCTTTGAATCAGGCCGCCAATTATGTATCATCATTCTTAACCGAGACATTCAGGCTTTCTGCACTGAACACCTCCGCAAAACTGCCAGATACTCTCATAGGCTCAAGCCTCCGGGAAGACACAAGCGCCATACCCAAACTTATAAAACTGTGGAAGTACACCCCTCTTTTCCAGAAAGTTCCAGAGTGGCAGATCCGGGCGTCGATGATTGAAGGAACACTATTCCGTCCCATCGTCAGAGCTCGCAGACTAAATATATTCACGAGGAAGGGCGTGGAAGAAGACAAGTACTTTGATGTTATTCCAGTAGCTTGGCCCACATGTAACTATCGAACCCGAACATTTGCCCCGTCGTGCTTCTTGTTTGAGGGCATGATGGCCGCGCTCTTAAATTACCAAGTCGATGAATTCATAGAAGCAGTTGCAGGGGTCAACTACGCTGATAACATCCCAGAACTTCGTCAAATCATCGACGACGTCATAGTTTCTATCAGTGAGGAAAAATCTGTGGACAACATATATGAGACGTTGTGGGAAGAATCTGCAGCCAACGGAATCAGCGAATTGACTAATGGATCCGCCGCGAATGGGGCCGCCGCAGGTCGACTTTCTACAATCGACGAAGTCAAACGTCGGGAAGTGTTAGTGCCCTTGACCAAATTCGTTACCCACGCTCTAAAGCACCCCTCGATTTTATCATCGAGCCCCTGGGATCAGAAGAACGTCACCAACGAGCTCCGAATATATCTCCAAACACATGTGACGCAGAGCGAGGACAACATGCTCTTACAACAGGGCAAGTTTACCAAGGGAGTGATGAGGGAACACTTCTTCCGATGGGTCCGCACAACGTCTGCTGATCACACTTCCGCCACATATACCTTCAATTTCATCAGCGCCCTCCTGGGCTCGTGGATTGAGAATGGACAAGACTGCTTCCCATCAACCCAGGAGAAGTACTACGCCGCAGCAGCATGCCAGCACTTAGCAGCTATGTGCCGCATGTACAACGACCACGGGTCCGCGATACGAGATCACGACGAGGCAAATGTAAACGCGGTCGATTTTCCCGAATTCGGTGTCAGGGTGATCGACTCCGGCGACATCGAGATGACGAGGAAGAAGGAGGCTCTATTCGAAGTCGCGCAGTACGAGCGGAGTTGTATTGAGGAGGCATTCAGACGGCTCGAGGCTCATGCCGCGGGGTCGAGGTCGGCGGACGCGCGGGCTAGGAAGAGCCGGCAGATGGAGATTTGGCGCATGTTCTACAACGTTACGGATCTCTTCGGCCAGATCTATGTCCTCCGTGACATCGGGAGTCGCTTGACGGTTGGCAATGGCACGCCAAGTTAAGGAAGTTTTGCAATGCTTATGTTATTTCTCCAAGCGGAAAAGAGTTTGAAAGCTGGCTAGCGCTGATCCATCTACGGAATGTCTAAAGTTTAGGTTATAAATGACTATAAATAAAATGTGGCAACACTAGGCCCCATGCTCTAATAGATGCTTGCCTCTTGTCTAGGGTAATCGGAGTATTTCTGAGACATGACTACTGACGAAACAGGGTTGGCCATCCAGCATTGATGCAAGTAGCTGTATGGTACTTTCTAGATCACGGAATACGACATTTTCGAGATTAACTAACCTCTTTTCGACCTGCCTTGCTTCCCAATCCTGGATCTATTCCGTACTAAGGATTCCGTTATGAACATTCGATCGTGTGCCCCTGCGACATATTACATGATGTAGATAACCTCTGCCTACTCTACGTGTTCACAATACGTAGCATGGCGAGTAACGCACTCTACAGTAACCCCTAGTAGTACGAGGCTGTAATGCAACACTTTTCCCAGTCTAAAGTGATAGCCAACGTAGCACGTGGCATGGTGTGAGTGGCGCTCGTAGCAACGGTTGGCTTGCGGGGAATTCACCATGCTATTAAAAATGAAAAGGTTCTTCTTGTGCTTGATTGCAGTTTTAATATTCTGTTACTAGGTATCGTACTGCGCACTATTAGGTTGTTTGCCTTCCAAAAATTGCCCACCAGCACTCGACCGTTTGAGACTCGTCGTCATCGTCTCCCCAGTCGTCCTGGCCACTAAGATAATGCTCCTCTAGCACTGTCAAAGGTGAGGCACCATTACTCATGGCTGATCGAAACTGTGCAATAAGTTTCTTTGTTATTTCGTCTCTTATAGGCACCATGACTATGGCCCTTGAGGCTGAGCTAGCTGACAACTGCTCACGGATCGCCGATGATAGAAGGTCTGGGTGGTCATCGTCATAGATGCCATCCGCAGCGAGGATTATCTAGAATGTGTTAGCACACGATATTGGAAAGAGGTTGTCACTTACATTGAACTGGTTCTTCAAAGAGAACATCGAGTCATTTCCACTTTCAGAGCCCCAAACCAATACACCTGAGCTGATATTGCCACCGAGCTGTTCGACCGTACCTCTGTTTTGATTAATATTGTACTCAAGGTTTGGCATGATATCAGGAAGATCGCTGAGAACGACATCAGCTTCCCATGTTGCAGCAGCAGCGAGCCCCAAGAGCCCTGTGCCCGAGCCAAGCTCCAAAATCTTCAAGGGCTCCCGGCGGATCGGACCTAGAAGATGGGCCAGGCATCCAGAAGTGAACTTGTCCAGGAGTTGTGCCATGAGATACGACGAGCCCCATGTCTTGTGGCCCAAGGAATCGCCGGTGATGGGGGGCTCTCGTACGATCAATTCAAAACTGGCCTGCCTGTTCTGGAACGGCCATCGTCTAGTTATCTCCCCCATCCCTGCACGTCCACAACGCTGTGAAAGGCAGCGACTCGCCTCCTCCCAAATTATCTCCCTCTGGTCATCATCCTCTAGCCACTGAAGAGCATTGCTGATGATACTAGCAAGATATGCCGTAACTTCGCGGCGTCCACGAGCTGTGTTTTCTTGACTCTCTCGGAGTTCTTTCTTGGACACCCCCGGACCCCAAATTTGGGGTTCAACATGAAGTCCTTTCAGGCAGGCTAGCAACTCCTCAAAGGGCGGCTTCTGCCAGACCTGAGGGAAGTCTGCGGGACTAATATCACAATAGTCTTTAGTCATGCTTATTGCTCTATAGGGGGCGAAGAGGGTGAAAAGTCTGGTCACCTAAGACCCGAGAGTAATGATGCCCTCATGGTTATGTGTTTAGATGTAGTTTAAAATTGCTTACTGGTAAATCTATATACAGAACTATGTCAAGTTGCTTCATGGAATTTATTGACCGGAGAAAAAGGAAAAAGGACGCCACATTATGAACTGGCCCGGCGGTAACACAAGCCACAAACTGATGTGGCTCATTGCTACTGCTTGACCCCACACTAGAACCTACCTAGGTACTAGGTACCTAATCGATAAGTTCGAAGCTCCCACCATGCCTCGAAATTTAACACGCAAGTGACTCACAAGCTCTCCTTCTCTCCCTTTCCTTTCCTCAAGCATCGTCCTCACCAAGGCTGTGTTTCCGGGCTACACACAGAATGGCAAGCAGCCGCAGCCGTTCATCGACTTTCGTGCTCTAGCACGCAAAGCTCGTATTTCCTTCGCCCGTGAGAAATTCGGAGTACGCTTCAATCTCACCTGTGCCTCGCGTTTCGGCGCGGGGAGCTCACAGGTCTGTCCGTGAGGGCCTCGCGTGATTTTCACGCGTATGATTGGCATCAGAGACGCAGGGCCTTCCCTCTCGCTTGGCTCCGCAAGGGGACGAGCGGGTTGAGGTTGGTTTCCTATGGGAGAGTCGTCATGAAGCTTGTGCGCATCACTTCAGTGCAATACACAGCCTCTTTTTACAGAGAATTCAATTCCGATCACTCTGGTGGGGACGATGCTTCACTCTTTTTTCATCTTTGGTACGTCATGTAATAATACTCAAGTTCTTTGGGTTCTAGGATACTACTAATGAAATTAAATGCTGCCTAGGTTTCCTCGTTATCGTATCCATCAGATTCGGCTCGTATTCTCCTCCGGTTCAGTTGTTGGAGTGATTCTCTGCTTGCATATTTCCGTCTTGACGGTTGGACTCCGGATTACGCCGCCCCCCTGTGACCCAGACACGGCTTGTGTTGAACCCTTATTCAAGTGATGAAGCATATCCGCAGTTGGTCTTTTCGGGTCCACGAGCCTTTCCAGCGCAGCGAGCTCCTCTAGAAGATCTACGCAGGCGGCTTCGTTAATGGTGGATTTCCCGCTTAGCATGACAACGCTGTCACCTGTTGCCCTTATCCTTGCCAAGTGATGCTGCCTTGAATCATGATCGCTTTTGTGATCGGGTCGTTGCGTTCCTGCCAGCAGTTGTGTGACTTCCTCAACTTGATTCAAGCAACTTTGTAACTTCATGTTTTGAATCTCGAATTGGTGATCGTCTTGTCTGTCGGTGCGCTTGTACTTGCGATAATATTCCACTTTCTGTTGCCATATTTGCTGAAGAACACCCATTCCAACGTAGATCCTAATGCTGTCCATCTCCCTAGCGTATTCCTCCTGGAACGTGCGCTAGATTTTCGTGTTCTCTTTGACCTGCTCCCTTAATTGATTTGCTGCGACTGTCATCTTCATATCCGCCATCATCTTCCTTACACCTAAGTTGTGCGAGGCCGGATGTGCTGGAAGGAGAGAGTTGTCTAGTACAGATGGGACCTCTACAGAAGAGACCCCCATAGAGGAGGACCCCACAGAGGATTGGCTTCGTTGAGTGCCATTTCTTCTTTGAGCATGAGGATGAACGTAGAATCGGTGAGAGCTCATATTCTTCACTGTTGCAGATAACCGTAATCGTTACATCAGCCCTATGCTTGCCAGTGGAAATAGATGTGGTCCGTTTCATGTGTCGTAGTGTTTACAATATCGAAATCTTTTGGGAGCAAGTTGGGCGCCTTCTTTAGGGCTTTAACGACAGGAGTCGCCTAAAATTGATACGCCGCAAACCATTGTCTGGCAGTTTGATCTTCTGCTAGGTTTGCCATATAGAACAATCTTGCTCTCACACACATAGAACACCAACTTTCGTGCAAACGCACAACTCCACTACTTAGCAGCAACAAATCATCCAGTCAGGCACTGATGTTGTCTCATAATTTGCCAAACAGACTGGTTAATGGCCAGTTCAACCTAGAATCATTGCGCCAAGAACATATGCAAACACTAGGCTTGCTGTAGGTAGCATAATACAGCCAAGAAAGAGGGGGAGGGGATAAAGGTTTTGTCAACCCAGAAGAGCAAATCACGGCGAGAATCAGCGTCTTGATGCTACACAGCGGCTAGCTATACATAACGTAGGGCACCCAGCACGGTACCTCTTGAAAACCATGACTTAAGTCTCGATACATTCATAGATGAACATGTACGTGCCTCGGTAGTATAACTTAAAGCTCCGATCTGTCATCTCTCGGAACCGGGACCGGGACCGGGACGGCTACCATCTTATCCATTGGAAGGGAGCATGCGCAACACGCAGCCAAATATAGACGAGAAGGGCATTGTGGGAAGCTTTGTCCTTCGCAAACTTACATCAATGCTGTGCTGATCAGCCGAACGCTTGGTTGGTTGTACAGTAAGTAGCAAGTTGGGGGATCCCTTTCTAGCTTCCATTCGTAAGCCTTATCATAGCTTCTCTCTGTCTCGCATTGGAGGTATCCCGTCATGTTTGATCCGTACAGAGATAGAGAATCCGCATATGTTCATCGTAGATTGTCTGTTAAAAGGTAATGGCTAGGATACATGTACATAGGTATATGTTACGATGTCACATGATACTCCGTATATACTACGTAAATTAAGACGCTATTGCTAACTTTACTACTACTAACTCGGCTAAGCGCCTCTACTCAACCCGACAGTATGGACCTGCGGGTCACCTTGAACACGCTAGACCATCTTAAGCCGCAATTGTCATCAATAATCCTTGATCTGTACCCACACTGTGCCGCCAAGGTACCCCAACCCTGACAGAAATGACGAGGGAGGCTCTGTATATGTAAGTTGTCTCAGAAGTACCGAAATCTTTCCTTTGCTGCCGATAGGTCAACGCCTCTTTTGTAACATGGAAGCAACGCGCAGGGTTCAAGTCAAGACCTATGGTATCAATATTCTCATTGTCCCCTTGATGTCCCCTCGATGTCCCCTTCATAACAAACAGCAACAACAGAAAACATTGGTCCTGAGCACTTGATGGACTAAGCACGCGTAACTGTGCAACTTTGCTTCCTCTACTTCGTAGGTACACCTTAGATAGGCCCCAGGCATCATATGTATACCGCTGTTGGCACATGGTGGGTAAAATCATGGCGGGGAGATGACAGCAGCTGCTGAGTAACCTCTTTGCACGACCGGTTTGCAGAGGACAGCATATGCCAAGGCTGCACAGAGCATGCTGTGTCGCTCAATCTGATAACGCGTACACTCCACTTCCTCCTTTTTCCCATTGTCTCGTGGCCTACAGTTTCTGGTGCGCCTTGAGGTTCTGCTACACATCGGCTTTAACTAAGTTCGCTCTTCCTCCAGCCAACGAACACAGCAAGTATTCCCCGCATACGGAATGAGCCGGTTCTGCCGCCGTGCAAACATCTCATTCAGTAACACCCAGCTCGTGTCAATTATCCATCTATCTCCCTTACAGAATCTAAGCCACTGAGCCAACTGCCCAACGGAGAGGAATAACCGCTGGGCGGCCAAATCTTGCTAAATCACCACAGATATATATAATAATCAAATTATGTAATCCTAACTTTAGTATCTATTGGGGACTACACCTCGTAGCTCGACGCTAAGCTCTAGTGTGTTATATTCGTATTCTTTACCTGCCAACCTACTCATTAGGTATGCAAATAGCTTCTAGATACACATGGCCCACGATTACGTAGGTAGGTGTGCACAAAGCAAGGACACGGGCACAAGGAACGAGCAATCTTGCCTTCCAAAAGAGGCGGCGCAGCTCCATCCTGTGGCACATGAGGAGCAAGGCGTTCACTCCGTCACTTTATCCGACCTGCATCATCTCCGGAGGTAAGGCTGCTTGAAACTCGATGACCATGCTCATGGCACTGGCATTTTGCCAATGTTTGCTCGACGAAAAGGACATCTAGATGACAGCGCACCCTGGGAAGCAGTACGACGAGACGCTCGCTCACTGCTCCTCTAGCCTCCCTGATAAGGTTATAGGCTGCTCCCATGAAGCTAGCTGTTTTGTACCTGTTAGGTAGTTCTTCATACTCCCGTCATGGATCCAGGCATTTATCTATTCAGGTGTTCCCTACCTACCTACGTAGTCCCACACACCCCCTGGGTGCTTGGATCCAAATGCATGACATGCTGCATGGTGTAACTTGAGAAAGGTATAGAAAAGAGTTAGCTTTGCTGCCTGCCTGCTTGCTTGCCTTTTCCCTGCTCCGCGGAACATACTTACGTCCCTTTCAAGCCACCGCATGCACGCCAAGGGGACACAACGTTTTATCTTCATAGGTATCTTCGTATCAAAGGCATCAGCCGATGTACATGTGTTCTCTCCTACGAGTCGAGACCAGGGGGATAATGTACAGGACAACTAGCCATACATACATCATCAAATATATAGCAGAGCAGGCACACAAAAATTATCGAAATGTTCCATAGACTAGCTACTTAGGTACCCAAGCGAAGACCGGGCAAAAAGGTTCTCGACGCAGTCAAGATGTTATGTACAGAGGGGGTATATACGTAAGTAGTGGGCTAAATTCGACTCCTTTCAGCACTATGGTTATTCGCGTTTAACTCATCTGCCTGACCTGGCCCGGCCACAGTTAGGGTGCCATGACCAGAGGGGGCATATAGTCAGGTTAGGTTCGATTCCTTTCAGCGCTATATGGTTATTTCGCTTTTGGCTCATCTGCCACATGTCTACAATTCTCTACCTTGCATACCTACATACAACCAACTTTGCCGTGCCCGTGCCGTGCCTCGCATGGCACTACATGTAACCTCTCGCCATCCAATCAAGCTAGCATCTGCGAGGAAACTCAAATGCATAGACAGGCAGCGAACAAGGAAAGACGAAAGCCATGTGTAAATAGGGGAGAGGAAAAGAAGACCAGCAAGTACATTATTTCAAGTTTATCGATATAAGCTGATACATCTTATGAAAAGGTAGATCCTTACTTAAGCCATGAATTCTGCTGCATTTAATGTGTTCCCCATGAAGGGACATGACCGGATGCGTATAGATAATATATATCATTGAACTTATACATGCAAAGTATTCGTCACCCATTAATCCACGTAGTCTACATATCAGTATAGTAAGAGAGTACTTGCTTTATCTCTATTTATTCTACCAAGCTACACATAGCCAAATGGTAATTTGCCTAGGCATACTAATGTAGAAATCCTAATTGAAAAATTTTGTCTATTTATTCCTGTAGGCCTCACACCTACAATAGTCCCAAGGAGGTGGAAATCGTCAGGGTGAAACGTTGATTCATACTCCATTTCTCCAGAACCACATTAATACCCATGCCTTCACTTTAGGCCTAGGTATGTTGTCAGGGTTGTTGTCCCGCTAGCCAGAATGCTTCAGTTTGACCTGGCTGAGGGATCCGTATATTTGAGGGTGGGACTATCCATCGTTGACCGCCTCACATGACCCGAAGCACAACTCATTGAAGGGTCTAGAACCATTAACCAAAAGCCAAGTTTGTTGGCATGAAAAATTATGGCCGTATCGGGACGCCTCTTGACCGGCTTATTCATTAAACAGGAAAATTGAGAGACATCTCTCCGATCGAGGGAATATTCACACCGTCCAAAAGAACGCCCCAAATCGATGCTGCCGAGGTCCGTATGGGCCAAATTATGCAAAGAAAAAACATTAACCAGGTCTGGAGAAGCACCCAATCTAGGCGCTGGCAGCAGCAGCTTCCTGGATCTCGCGCTTCATGGTGACAAGCCTATCACGCATTTGGAGGAGGCTGGTAAGCTTGTCATCTGGTGGGCTTTTCAGTTCCGCTATCTCGTAATGGAGTGCCTCATATTTCTCATAAAACTTGGTGAACATGAGGGCCTGAGATAAAACCTCCCGGGAAATACGAGGCTTCTTCGAGGGTGGGGTCGGGGTTGTGTCCGGTGACTCTTCTTCGACTGACTCTCTATCCTTTCGTTTTTTACTAACCACAGCGACAGAAGGTGCCAAAGATGTAGCGGAACTTGACGTTGATATGCTATTCGTAGGACCATGAGCCCGGCCGCGATCGCGCCCGCGCCCCCGTTCCCGCTCCCCATTACGGGGTGGCTGGATTGGGTGCTGCTGCACGCGATTCAGCGGCCGTTGACTCGAAGGGCGCTCCTCGAGATCAGAGGCATTAGTCGGTGGCGATGTAGCGAGAGGTGAAGACTTTGTAGGCGAGGTGTTCTTGCTTTTCATTGTGAAACTTGAATTTATTGTGCTATTAGTTCCTCGAGAATTTTGACTAGCATCTGACACGCGATGCTTAATCGGCTTGGCTTCTATGGTTGGCTTTGGCAACTCCTTTGGCTTAATACGCTTGCTTAGAGGAGCGCCTGAACTAGAGCTGCTGTCGTCATCTTCACGGGAGCGCTTCTGTGGTGATTTATTCGTAACTCCGAGTGGTTTCGCAGGCGCACGAGGAGCTCGAACTACAGGCTTTGGTTTCGGTTTCAGAGCAGGCGGTTCCTTCGGTTTTTCGCTCATTTTCCCTGCAGGTTTCTCGGTTCGTCTCTCAACAGACTTCTCGATTTGTTTTTCAATAGGCTTATCAGTAGACTTTGGGGGCAACCTTGACTTTGGAGCCGGAGCAGTATTCTGTGACGAGGGGGCATCCTCTACACTTGTATCTGTGTCGTATACAAATTCTTCAGAAAGAACTCTCTTGCCCTTCTCCTCTGCAGCCTTAACCTTGCTGACTTGTTTCTTTGGCGCAGGCTTCTTGGGGTTGCTGGACAAGAGGCGCTTGGTCTGGGCTTCGCGTTCACTGATCTTCTTCGGTTTATTCGAAGTTGGCTGTGAGGCTGATCTAGACATAGCTTCACCTTTTGCTTTAGATGAGTCAATGTCGCTCTTGTTCCCATCTTCTGCCTTTTGGACAGCAATCTTGGGTGCAGGGACAATCGTGCTCTGCTTCGCAATCGACGCTTGCAGCTTGCTCAATACGATATTCTTGCCTCGGTCTTCTTGAGGAAGCAATCTTTCCCAAGCAGAGTCTGATAACATCATTCTTTGCTTGTCGTAAGCCTTTATAGCGCCATCGATGGCCGACTGACGATCCGCAGGGTTTTTGTAGTCATAATTCCAGACATCTAGTTCTTTCCAATATGGTTTCTTCAAACTCCACTTCTCTGTTGTCTTGTTGAAATCGGCGACCTTTTCAACAGTCGATTTTAGGTCCGAATCTGCACCGGTCCAAACATTTTTTAGATGTTCGAAAGACTGATCTCTCACAGCCAACTCGTGGACCAAAACGGACCTCTGTCCTTTGTTCTTCTCTAGAATTTGTTGAGAGGCGGAAAAGGCGGGATTCGGCGAAGATACACCGTTCAGAGCAGGACTGGTGGGTAGTGATCGGGTCGTACTCGACAAAACGCTCGCCATCGCTGATCGCCCGGTAGGAAGGTTTTTGGCACCTTTGGGGGCACCATTGACAAATTTTGACCTGTTTATTGTTAGCTCCGCAAATTGAGACCCAGTCGAAATCACCGTACCCCTTGCCGCTCTTTTGAGCATGAGCACCAGTCCGTGTATCGAGGTCTGAGTCCGCTCCAGAAGACGAAGCACGGCTGGTATACTTCGCTGTAACTTTCGTCGCTTTCTTCGCCAAGAGGGATTGGGGTGGTTTCTTGGAAATGGACATAGTGGGGTGTGGTAGTCGCTGGGTCTTATTTCCAGCATCCGTCAGATCTGTAAGATACAAGTCGTAGTCTAAAGACTCTGGGGTAGCCGAAATCTTGGTTTCCTGCGATCCATAGTGCAGAGACTGATGATGGCACGGTTAGTTTAGAAAGCAATGACATAGGTTACACCAAGGATTCCAAACATAGGGATACATTTTCCCTACAGCATACACAAGAGACCTGGAATCTTCCTCCGCTATCATAGTCATGAAATTGTGTTTGTTGTAACACTGTTTATATATAGATTTGGCGACCGTGAGATAAGAAAAATCCACACTTACGGGTGTGCCACCCAAAGTTATTTCCACGTTCTGCCCACTCTGTACGCATTTGATCATATCTTCAATCATGCTATTGTTCAAGGTAAGACCGAAAGTTTGCATGGGAAGAAAGTCCCTCGAGCTGGGCGAGCTCTCCAGCGGTAAGCCGGCATCTGGTATTATGAGAGCCGACATGGTCGATTATTCGGTTCGTGAGTCTTCAGCTACGTTTCCAAAGCTTGCGGAAACAAAATGTCTCTTGCTCTGTATCGTGTTGAAAGTATCAAAAAAGATACAACTGCGCTCTACACTCTGCACCCGGCTAGACTCTCAGAAGTCCAACGGTAGAACAGTGGGCTTCCCATGCAGCTGCATTACATGGTGTGGGGATGAATTCCCGGCAGTCTCGTCGGCTGGTTCGAATCGGTCAAATAGATCGAGGCTACGAAGCAACGGGGACTAAGAAAACGACGACAAGGACGACGACGAAGCGGTAGCGGCAAAGGTGACCGGGACAAGGCGCTCGGAAAACGAAGAGGATGCTAAGACGGCGAGGACAATCAACACACGGTGGATAACGACAATGAAGATCCCAGAGTTTGGGAAGGACAAAGTCGTACAGGAAATGCCTCTCTTGGTCTAGAGAAGAAAGGAAAAGAGGAAGTCTAGGCACAATGCCAGACAAGAGGCAAGAGAGGTGAGGTGAATGGTTGGAGAGGTAGAATGGTGGTAGTAGCGTAGGTAGGTACTCCAGGAAGGTTAGCGGATGAGTTGGATGGGTGGATCAAGGATAGAGAGGGAGGATTGGAGGTGGAGAAAGTACCAGCGCAGCGCAGGTCTGTGAGGCGCTGGTGGGAAGTACTGGCCAAGTACCGCGGGCCTGTTTAGCTCACCCGCCGAGCTACTCAGACGGCCAGGCCAGGCCGTTGCGCAGGGCCCCGCCGGGCGAGCTTGCCTTGCTTTGGGCCTTGCTTCGGGCCTTGATTGTGTGCTGGAGGGCGCTGGAGGGGTGCTGGAGGGTGCTGAAGGGGCGTCGAGTGCCTGACAGCGGCCTGGGCACTGTGAAGGACACATGCGTGTAACACGCCGGCGCCAGACCTGGACCCACGCTGGATTGCTGCGCGCTGTACGGCCGAGGTACTCGCGGGCTACTCTGCGCTGTACGTACCCAGCAGCGTACCCAGGCTATGGAACAGGGGCTAGTCCTCTAGTGCAGTCCAGTGTGGTCTAGTGCAAGGCAAGGCCTCACCCAATGAGGCAGACGGCCTGCGCTATTTCACTTGGGACCTTCCGACTCATCAGCGAAGTGAAGTGACCGTCTCTCTCTCGCAGAGCAAACCCAACGCACCGTTACCTCCTATGTAGTCATCAGGCACGTCTCCGATGGAAGAGATCACTGACCAGTGACCAGACCAGCCATGTCGGTCAGCTAAGATGCCCTTTCAACAGGGCACCTTTTGTAAGTAAGTGACACGCGGGCGGCGCACATATGTAGCCATCTGATCCCACGTAGCGTACAGAAGACGACATAATGGACAATATCGGCCCATTAATCAGCTGGGACTGCCCTACTCAGCAGTAGGTATGGGTTGCATCGATGCGTTCAACCTCACTGCACCACACTCTGTCCTGCCTGCGGAGTTGTATTTTCTTTTCTAGTTATTTTACCCTCTATTAACCTTTATTAACCTCTATGTGACTGTGGCCTCTGCTCTGCTCTGCTCTGCTGCGTGTGCAACTATCTACCAGTTCAAGAGGCAAATTCCTTCCGAATTCCCGTACATGCATAATACATATTTAGTATACACGTGTGTAGGTGACACATCCTTTAATTCACGTAGACCTATAGGGACTAATACGTAAAAGGTAGTAGTAACCTAGTACTAGTAGTATTCGGCCAGCTTACGATACACATAGGTAGCGGAGTAGGTAGCGCGTGATGCAGCGCAGTGAGTCGAAGCATCGAAGCTTGTGTGGGTACGCCGGTCAGTCGTCAAGCAATTACAATGTCGAGTGACCGACGATCAGCGAAGAAGAAATACATTGTACTAACTGTATATGTAGTACGTCGTTATTTTTGCAATTTTGGCAATTGTGATACACGGAATGGCTTCTACACCACGCTCCTCGAATGAATGTTGAAACACATCCTTTGAGAAAGCAACATGCAACATGCCTGGAGAGGAGCGGCCGAACGAGCCCACTTAGCTGGCTGGTGCCTGTATTACTCCGTCCGTACTGTGGTTGTCTGGTTGCTACGCCCCGGCCTCCTGAGTTAGCCTAGTGGCAGATATATACCTCTACAGCCAGTGTACTATGCATTATGTAGGTATGTATGTAATGTAGGTAGTCGAGGTAGTGGCAGGTAAATAAATTAAGTATGTACGTACCTAGCACAGTTACATCATTGAAGTGTGCTGTTCGTATTACCTTGCTTTCTTACTTCTTTTACAGTATGGCCTAACCGTCGTGCCTAAAAACTTTTCCCTGCTTATTGGAAGCCTGGCATTTGTGTAAAATCTTCATATTGATAAGCCCAAGTAGGGCAATGGATGCTGGGCGAGCCACCTCATCACGTACTACCCACCAAAGCTAGATAGGCCTTTACCTAGTCAATATAGGTACACATGTAAGAGGTCGATAGGTCGATAGGTCGGCAGGTCGGCGAGTCGGTAGGTACCTAAGTAATATATGTAGGTAGGTATTTGCTACTACCTACTGGAAAGAAGGGCAAAGTCGTCAAGACTCGGTGAGTCTCCGGCCATCTCCGGGATTACCGCTATTTCGGCATTCAAGGTGCCTTTAGTAGACACATCACGCCACGCCGACCGGTACACAGGAGCACATTCACGACGACTGGCAGTAGGAGGAAAGAGAAAAGTAAAGAAGAATACATACACCAGTCAATAAATTGTGTGGAAACGTGCTGTACGTTCTCAAGCGAGGTCAGGTAGCAGTGTCTGTGTGGTTGCAGGTGTGCTGTACATGTAAGAAGCAATCGCCCAGGACTGCTTGGGATAGGTACCCCTAGGTATCTGAGATAGAGAGATATGCGCTATACGCGGCCCTTATTTGCCCATGAACTTACCTGCTGTGAGGCTAAATAACTGGGACCATTTCGACTTGGAAGCAGCAGGTGATTGGCAGGTTAAAGTTTCAGGAATACCAAGGAAAATAGGAAAAAAACAGCCTAAGGAGAACGACACTGGCCAGCCGCAGCACCGTGAGGAGGTGCGGTCTTATTTATATACACAACTACAGACATACCTACGCATGGATACGTAGGTATACTTAAATGTATGCTTCTAGGAAGAAACCAGACGAGCAACCCGGGTGTTCGTGCGTAGCGTAGTATGCGTAGTGTTTGTTACGCACTCGATTCGTGTTGTCAAGGTCGCAGGGATTGCTGGGAATAATCCAAATTTAGCATAAGACTTGGCAGCATACCATAGAGCACTATACGTGCCTTACGGGTGCTATAATATTAGGAGGGGAACAAAGGGGGACGAGAGGGCCCCCATTTGGTTGGAATATTAGGTAAGGGCACGGACAACTTTGGAATGCTGGATCCTGTCAATACTAAGTATACTTAGGTGCGAATGCCAAAGACAAGAGGGAAAAAGAGAAAAAGAGAAAAAGGGAGTTGTGAGGAAGAAAGCTGCTCGGTACAGCAATGCTTTGCTCGCCTTCAGCTCCAAAAGACACAAAAAGGTGATATTGCCCATACTCGCGCTGCTTTTCCCATCGCATTTTGCTGACTGATTGGCAGGTCGTGAGCCCGTCCTGGCATGTTGTCAGCGTAGCGAATGACGGCGCGAGATGCAGACATGCTGACCATGCAGCGAGAGATGCACATAGACTCCTGATTGGGACTACGAGTATTGGGAGGTCGGCTGCTGGTACCCAATCCGGGCACCCTCTTGTCACGGGGGTAAAAAGACGCTAATTACTGTATGTTCCAGATCTGACCGAGACATTTCCTCATACCTACCTGCATTTCGTCTCGCTTTTTTGGCCACCTCGACTGGCAGGTAGTCGATGGGTAGGTGGCTTGAAGCTTGCTGACTGAGAGCAGACTGCGACGAGGAGGAGACAAGTCTCAACTCTGGGCTGCAAGTAATCGTGGACAAAACAAGACACAAAAAGAGGCCTTCCATCGGTCAACCCGTAGTACCCCAACCCAGTTGACCCAAACACCAACCATTACAAGGGGCCAGGGAACTCGTTCGCTTTCACCTTTGAGAGAAGAGAAAGCGAATGTGCGCCGTAGACAAGTTTGATTGTTCAAGGTGCATTCGGTAAATTGATTGATAGACTGACTGATTGATTGATTGATTGCTTGGCTTCAACTGGCGACACAGGCTTTCAGGTACCAGATCGGGGGCCAAACAGACAAGACAGCCTCTGATGATGATGAAATGTAAGACAGCAATCCCAGAATGACACCAAAAGTGGGCAGGGCCCTCCGACCATGTGCGAGAGTCACTCTTGTACTGCTTCGAATGTGACCAGGCAAGCCACGGGTAACATGCTGTGACTGCCGATGGGCCCGATCGCCTTCTCCGCATCATGACCGCGTAACGATATACAGTGTTGAGAATCTCGGCTACTGATGTGCACATGCACTGTATCCGCTGTACTTAGGGATGCTCGTAGGGATTGAGCTGCACCCCAGCAACAATTAACTTCAGTCAACAAAGTCCCATTGCAATGCGTTTCTCCTGCCTCTTCCCGCCTTGGCTGAGGACATTTGCATGTTTCCGGGTATCCTCCAAACCTCGAACCCCAGCAATCTCGATTGTCAATGCTTTCTGCTCGCTACTGTGCTGGCTGGCAGCCCGGAGATTCCAGAGGTTCCAAAAAGCAAGACTTCGCTAGCAAGACTGTTTTAAAGAAACGAGGGCCTACAACAACAGACTGTCTCATCAAACTGGTCAGCCAGCCAGTCGTTTTGTCCAGGACTTATTTTCCTCGTCTAGTCATACCGAGCCGTACACTACACTACCTAACGAGCACCTTGCAGCTCGACATGCAACCAAGAACGGTAGGTCTAGCATTCTCAGGGTAGCAATTCGCTCATCCCAACCTGTCCCAACCTATCCCATCTCATCTGTACATCATGCTGCTACACTACATAAAGTCTGAAGCGTGGCATGACTTTCTTTTTCCTTGGTGGGTGCAGGTCGTAGTTGTACTTCGTTGACCACCCACTACGACGTAGACTATGTAATCATCGCCGTTCCATACAACCGCAATCCGGATTATTACTACAGCTCGTGCTACCTGATCCTTTGCGATACATATACCTATCAGGACGCCCACGAGATTTGCAGTAGAGATCCGACTAGCATCCGGAACACGAGGGTGCTTTTGCTACAGCAGCTTAGTGCGTTCCTCTCACTCTCGCTCCTCTTCGACGACGGGCGTTGCCAATCATTCCCATGCACATGGCAGGTTTTAGGTAGGTAGACATACCT